TTTTTTTTTATTCTATCTCTTCAGCTACATATACAATCTCGATATATATATATATATATATATATATATATATATATATATATATATATATATATATATATATATATATATATATATATATATATATATATATATATATATATATACACTACTTTTATATATGTTAGCCCCTTTGTCCTAAAAATTACGCTTCTTATACGACTTCGATTCGACCTTAAAAACATCAATCTTCTGTAATAATCACAACCTTCACAAATTAATTAAGGTGGTTCAAATTGTAGAACCACAAACATATATATTTCATGTGAGGACAACAAAACATGTCGGTCGAGATCAATTAATTTACAATAGAAACAGCAGCCGTTAATTAGGACTACTAATTTCGAACAAGCGTAAGCCCTCGAAATCATAAGCGTATACATAAATATGTATACAGTATACACATATACATAGCTAAGAATCGTGGGCGAGCAGATTGATCGATAACGGCGGAGAAGCCCGTGTTTTGCATGGCGAAGACGAACGAACGCTAAGCAGAGAAGATCTGCAGAGTGGGCAGGTGAATCGGCATCGGTCGAGCCATTTTTCGAGGCATTCCATGTGGAAAACGTGGCCACATCTGGGCAGTTTGTTGACAGTGTCTTCTCTGAGGAATTCCATCAAACAGATGGAGCACACTTCTTCAGTGGAGCTATGTTCGAGTTCTTGAAATTGGGAGAGTGGGAGATTGAGCTCCCAATCTGGTTGACAATGGCTGATGCTTTGATCTGCTGCTGCTGATAATTGGTGGTGTGGGTCAACCAGGAAGATGAAGAATCTTGAAATTGACTGTGTTATTTGGAGGAATGGGATGCGTATGAACGTGTAGAAAATGAATGTAATAGTGGATAGATTGTTTTCTGCGTATAGACAAATCATGTTTCTTTGTGTGTATGTTTGTGTGTGTGTGTGTGTGTGTGTGTGAAATTTGAATACAGTGGTTTAGAGTGAGAGAGAGAGATGAGAGAGAGAGAGAGAGAGAGATGAGAGATGGAGTTGTGTTTATAGAGAGAGAGAGAGAGAGAAATGGGAATCGTGGTTAATAAGTCAACTGCTATTACTTAGTTTCTTGATTATTTAATTAATTATTGGTTTGGCTAATTCTAGTTAAGCTTTTGACTTTTTTAGGGTTCTTACTCTCTATATACATTATCAAATATTGTTGATAAATAAATAAATAAATAAATTTAGTGTAGTTCAGTAGTTTGTGAGCTATTATATGAAAGTGTAAATTATCTAGTGGTTTTGCGGAAAAACTTGGGAGTTGAGTGTGCAACAACACTAAATATCCCGGGAAGAAAAAAGAAGAAGCAGTCGGGTGTGAAAAAATCAATTACGATTCGTTCTAAAAGGATTCGAAAAAATTAGAAATTTGAATTTCACATCAGATGGAATTCAGAATTTCTATTGTTTAGTGTGTTATAATATAAAATTTATAATAATGTGGAAATTATCAGGTGGTTTTGCGGGAAAAAAACTTGAGAGTTGAATGTGCAACGACAATATAAATTCCTCAAAAATAAATTCGTGTGTGAAAAAGTCAATTACAATTTGTTCTAAAAAGATTCGGAAATTTTGAATTTCCAAAATTGTTCGTAATCAAAAGTTTTTCGCATCAAAGTCGGTGGAATTCAAAAATTTTATTTTTGAATGTCCTATAATATAAAATTGATAATAATATCTGAAGAAAGAAATTGCATTCTCCGAAATATTAAAAAAATATATTTAAAATCGGAATCCAAAATTTGATATGTATTTCTAAAAAAATGATATGTATTTCTAAAAAAAAAAAAAAAAAAAAAAACTTAATTAAATATAGGGGTGGAATATTAAATATGTACACGAAATGGGGTGATTCCGCCGACTTTATAAAATCTTGTGGTGGTGGTGGTGGTGGTGGAGGGTCGGCGCCGACCCCACATTCCCGCCGGTCCTTTTCTCTGTGCCTGAATATAATATTTAGGTCGTACTATTTGCACATAGTTTCAAGCATTACTTTAATCAATATTATTTATTTTCATTATTTTTTATTTATTTTATGAGGTCTATAAATACGAAATGGGGTTTTTTTTGGTAATACATACATAGTAACTTTTAATTTTTTATTTTTTAATAGAGAAATATAATAAATATATTAGTCAAAATTGGTAAAATAATTGTCCCCTAATTCAAAAATATTATTTAAATAATTATGAATGTTGGGATATTCAACTCTTTAATTAGATGCATTTCTCCAATCCTTAAAATTGGATCAAGATTTACCACACGTGGTTAAGATACTCTCTTTGACTTCTATAATAAAATAAATTAGTTTTATACTTTTATTGCAATATTCATGCACCGAGTTCAATTTATGTTCACCTCTGATATACGTAATTGGGCCGACTCAATGGGCCCTCAATTTATCTAATAATTGTGTCCGTTATACGAAAGTCCAATTGGACCCGCTACACAAAAGTCCACACCTTCATAAATAAGGCTTGGGCCCAACAATGTAAACTCAACCTAATCAACGAAACGTAAATATAGATTTTTACTCATTTGTTAAGGTACGTTCTACTATTCATAAGTATTCTAGAGTTCTTATTCTCTCTACCATCTCCACGACCCATACATCTGACTTGAGCGTCGGAGGAGTTTCCCCCGGATCAACCCCCGGCTTAGTTGACGTGTGTTAATTTCGCAGGGACCTCAGGATCATCAAATTGGCAAGCTACTGATCCGTTTTGCTCTCCTAACTCGTTTACCACACTATCCTAGGTGATCTAAGTAATTAGCATCATCAACCTCCATTTCTAACTTAATACTTATGTAACAAGCACACTGAAATGGTGACACGCGGAAAGGGACACGGGAAATAGCATATAAAAAATATAGATACGCAGTAAGTTGAAGTTTCCGTGTTAGCTTAATACAAATTTCAGATATTTTTCTCTCATTTTTATGGATTTCAAACCGTATCCGTGTGGAAACAGATTATATCAGAGGGGGAAAAAACGACCCAAGGAAGAAAATTGATGAGCAAAGATTTAGAATCATGTCTAGTATCGGCAATCTAACGTCGTCTAAACTCCTTAAAGTATATTTTTGCCATTTCAAAAAAAAATTAAAAAAATAAAATAAAATCATATCAATTCGGTTGCTCGAAAGCTCAGATGTAGAATTCATAAATTGGGTTGTTCTCAAAACTGCGACATCTACCAGAATCAGGTTTTCACTTGCTTTGTTTGAGGAAGGTAAAATATCGAATAAATATTTGGTTAAAATATAAAATAAATATATTTTATCAATATATCTATATATATAATAGTTTTATAATTAATATGAAGAAAAATAGCCCATACTACAATTGGGTCAAATGGCATTGCGGAATCTTGCTTCGCAACCCATATTACGAAATAAGATCAGCCCAATAAAAACAAAATGGTCTTATAAATTGTGTAAACTACAAACACCTCCCTGAAGTAAGGTCTATTAATGAAACAAAACCTTGTTGTTCCATAATTACATCTACCGCCTTGACATTTGTAAATTTCTTACATTTACAACCTTTTGCAGGGAGGTGGATGTAAGAAATATACTACTGTCGGGGTCTGGATGTAATTTATAAAAACTGAGGGGTTTTTCATATAAATTATTTATAACATATTACAATGGATGGTATAATATATTTAAATATAGGGTAAATTACAACCAACCCCTGAGGTATGGTCAATTTACGAAAAAACTCATCTTGTTTGGATAATTACATCTACCCCCTCAACTATGATTTTTTCTTACATCTCCACCCTTATGGTGCCAAATTTAACATAATCATCTAGATTTCGTGGAATGTGCTCTAATTTGTACTCGTTTTGTGCAAAAATACAATTTCTGATGCACCACAATATGATATATAGTTATATACAAGCCAAAAGACACATATTATGATCATCTTGCTTCAAAATGTAGAGTTCGAATGGGATAAAATAGGTACAAAAGTGATAATAGTCTATATAATCTCAAAGATTCCACTAAATTTGAAACCACAAGGGTGGACGTGTAAAAAGATTTATAGTTGAGGGGTGATTGTAATTACCCAAACAAGAGGGTTTTTTTCGTAATTTGACCATACCTCAGTGGTGGTTGTAATTTACCCTTAAATATATCATGTAATTCTCACTTAATTTGTGGAACTTTTCATATAAATTATTTTTTTCAAAAAATATAATTATTATATATGTGCTTTTTTTTAGTCCCTTTAATTTGTTGAATTTGAGTCAGTTTTTCTGTGTTAATAATTTTGACTACTTATTTATTATCGAAAATAAATAATCATTATTCCTAATTTTATCCAACAGAGAATGTATGACAGATGCTGCGTAACAAATAATAGAAAAATAATCAAACAGATGGAATCTTCATACTTGGAAGCACAACTGAACTAATTAACTAAATTACTAATTAATTATATATAATAATTATATTACTCTCTAGAGCATAATTAACAGTCAACAAAAATAAACTAATCAATAATATAATATTTATATAATATAGACTAGAGTCCTCGTATAAACTTTGTTTGCTAGCTCGTGCTCACACGTTTGAATGAAGCTCCTAAAATCTTACCCAAGAAAATTAAAAATAAATAATAAAATAAAAATTGCTGTCTAAATTAATTAAACATGGTTTCCACAAACAATCTAATTCAATTTCCTATTTATAAGTTTTTCATTACTACTTTGATCTCAGTCCTCAGCCATGGCAATTAATAATCCATCGTCTCTATTCATACTTTCATGGCTGTTGGCCTATTGCATTTTAACATATAGTGCAAATGCATCATCGAAAACTTCGAACAAAACATCGACAACAACTTACCCTCGTTCAAGCAGCAAATTGATGAACCAAATCGACTCGTGCTGGAGATCAAACCCTAATTGGGCCTCAAACCGTCAAGCCCTAGCCGATTGCGCAATCGGGTTCGGTTCCAGTGCGACGGGCGGGAAATACGGACCCATATACATCGTGACCGATCCATCAGACGATCCGATAAACCCCAAACCAGGTACGCTCAGATACGGGGCAATCCAGACCCAGCCACTCTGGATCACTTTCCAGGGCGACATGTCTATAACTCTCGAGAACGAGCTCATGGTCAACAGTTACAAGACCATAGATGGTAGAGGTGCTAGGGTTGAGATATCCAACGGGCCGTGTATTAGTATAGATGGTGTTAATCATGTGATAATCCATGGGATTAGCATTCACGATTGCAAGCCGGGTAGGCCTGGCATGGTCCGGAGCAGTCCGGACCATGTGGGCCACAGACTCGGCTGCGATGGAGATGCGATATCCATATTCTCATCGTCCAATGTGTGGGTTGACCATTGCTATCTGGCACGTGCCGCTGATGGCCTGGTCGATGTCACGCATGGGTCGAATTTCGTGACGGTTTCCAATAATTACTTCACTCAACACGACAAGGTACGTTAACTAATAGGGTGGACTCCAGCCCACTCTCGATTTTATTTTCCAATAGTTTATTAAATCGATTTTATTTATTTATTTATTATTATTATTATTTGCAGGTGATGTTATTAGGGCATAATGATGCATTTACAGCTGACAAAAGCATGAAAGTGACAGTAGTTTTTAACCACTTTGGCCCTCGATTGGTCCAAAGACTCCCAAGGTGATTTATAATAAATAAATTGGAATTAATTGAATTAAAATAATTCGAGTAAATGTATATTTATTATATACATACTATATTATTTATAATAAAGTATGTAATTAATTAGACGGATTAATTATGTGGCGGCGCAGGGTAAGACACGGATACGCACATGTTGCTAACAATAAATATGACCAGTGGCTAATGTACGCCATTGGTGGCAGCGCCGATCCAACCATACTTAGCGAAAATAACTACTTTCTTGCTTCCAATGATGCTACTGCTAAACAGGTAATTAATTAATTAAGCCATGACAAATTATTTAATAATTAAACAATAATCATTGAGAAAGTGTATGTGAATAATTTTTAAATTTTTTTTTCCGGCAGGTTACGAAAAGGGAGACAACTCCGAATGGTTGGAAGAGCTGGAAATGGAGATCGACGGGAGACATATTTCTAAACGGGGCTTATTTTGTACCGTCCGGCTACGGAAGTACCGCTCCGAATTATTTAAAATCGCAATCTTTTGTTGCTGCGTCCGCATCCTTTGTTCCCGCCTTAACATCCGATGCTGGACCTCTCTTTTGTTTACCTCGACAACAATGTTGATAATCTTGTTCGCTCGTTGAGTCGACTCACTGTTTCGTAATCTAATGTTTTTTCTTTTTAAATTCCTTACACTATTTTTTTCGGAATTTTTTTATTTTTGGATTGAGTATCGTTTGTTGTTTTGCTCATTCTTACGTGTTATTGTTTTCATTTGCGCAATGCCAAGACTTTCTTTTCTAGGTTTCTTTTAACATCCTTCTAGGAAATTAAGCATGTACAGTTAAATTTCTATAAACTATTAGATTTTGAGATTTGTAGAATATTAAATAATCAACATATCGATTAATGAATATTTTATTTATAGGTATTGATTTATCAAACTATTATTTGTTTTTAACAAATATATTTTTCAATTTTTATACATATAATAGTTAATTGATGTTTTTAATGAAATATTAAGTAACAATTTATTCATTTTTTATAGTCTTGATAAATTAATTGTAAATGTATAGTGTATTAACTATTAACAATTTATTTAGCATATTAGTATTAATATTCGCATTAGAATTAATATTAGCACTAGCATTTAGCATTAACATTTGTATTACCATTAGCATTATAATTAGTATTGGACTATGATTATATTATTATTAGCATTCGCATTAGTATTAGCGTTGACATTAGCATTAGCATATTAGAATTAGTATCAATATTAAGATTAACATTAGCATATGAGAATTAGAATTAGCATTAGTATAATAGGATTATGATCAATACTAGCATTAGTATTAGTATTAGGATTAGTATTATAATTAGTATCAGAAATATGATTATGATTAGTAACAATATTAAGATTAAAATTAAAATTAAGATTATAATTATGATTAAGATTATAACTATGATATTAATATTGGCATTAGAATTAAGATAATGATTAGGGTCAAGATTATGATTATTAGAATTTGGATTAGAATTAGCATTAACGTTAGTACATTAGGATTATGATTGTCATTGTCATTAGCATTAGCATATTAGAATTAACGTTAGCATAGCATTAACATTAGCATTGGTGTATTAGTATTAACATTATCATTAACATATCAATATTAAGATCCGCATCAGCACTAGCATTAACGTAATGTTTTCTCTTGTCAGCAAAATCGGTTTGTCGGGTAGGTAATTGGTCGATAGTTACCCGACCCGACCCATGTTCATCCTCAAGTATCAACATTAGAATTAGCACATAAGAATTAACATTAGCATATGAGTATTAATATTAGTATTAGTATTAGTATTAGTATTAGTATTAGTATTAGTATTAGTATTAGTATTAGTATTAGTATTACTATTACTATTAGTATTAGTATCGGTATCAGTATCGGTATCGGTATCAGTATCGGTATCTGTATGAGCAGTAACAATAACAATATACAATATAATATGAGTAACACTATCAGTAACAGTAACAGTATTAGTATTACTATTATTATTAGTATTAGTATTAATATTAGTAGTACACAATTTTGCTATTTGAGTTTTCAATTGAAATTTTTGACCGGTATGGTTATACAAGTTAAATCAAAAAACGTATTGTCTGTTTTTGTGTAACTTTTATTATTCGATACTTTTCTATTTATTGCTTAGTTTGGTTTACTTGATTATCTGAAACAAACGACTCCGTCATTTTATTTACTTTCCATTTATTTTGTATTGCATATCCGATTTTTTTAATTTGAGTACTTTTTTTCAATCAAATATTTTAATTCCAGAAATTATCTCCGTGCATCGCACGGGTGTATTACGTATTTTATATTGTAGAATGAAAAAATGTAATTTTTCAATTTTTGATGTATTCAATTCGAAAATTTCTGATTATGCAATAATTTTTCGTTTTGAATTTTTTCGATGAAAAAATATGGGTGTCGAACTAAATGACCCAAATGTAGTAGAAGTAGAGAATTGGGCCCAATGTGCACAAAATATTTGATGATTATTAAATTACTAATTAAGAGACTACTACAATGGGCCGAATCCAAATCATTTAAAAAAAAAAGAAAGAAAAAAAAACCATCAATTTGGTAAGAATTTCGAATAAGTATTCGATAATGTTGAACGTCGATCTTGATCATACAACTTGTGGTGGAGTATAGTGTAGCTGATTGGAGCAAAGCTAATGACTAATCATGAACTTTGTTGAGCCCGAGCTAAGGTAAACTAAGCTGGAACAACAAGATATAACAACATCGAGAAATTTAAAAGACTGAATCGATCTATCGACACAGTTGAAAACAGTTACAAAAGGCATGTTATGCATGTAATGCACGTGTAGCACATTGTGTTGTTGTACATCCAATTAGAAGCAAGAGAGAAACGATCGAGAGAGTACAAAGAGAAAGCTTGAGAGGTAGAATCGAGCGGAAAGAATTCAATCCTACATATTTTGCCTGAGAGATAGTACTGAAACACTATAAATTTGTTATTCTTTATTCTGTCTTTAGAAACGCCGTTTTTAGGGTTTTATGTCTGCTTTGATATCTCAGCGCGTTTGCAAGGTGTTTATGTTATTGTCTAGCTCGTTTTTTCTTGAGTTGTTTGACATAGAAACTAGATCGATTTCACTACAAATAAATAAATATAAATTACAATGTGAACACATCTTCCTCATTTATTGCATTTTAGAGGAAATTGGGATCTCTGGCTCATAAATTTCTTTTTAGTAATGTTTGGTCGTGCTAGGAAAATAAGACAAACGTGTTCTTATTTGATTGAGACGTGCCAAATTGCCAATCAATCCAAAATTCGATTTTGATAAATAATCCAAAATTCAACTTTACAGTTTCGGATTGAAATCAAATGTCATTTCACACCAATTTTCAAAATTGATACTACTCTTATTTCAAAATACTCCATAGTTTAAACCTTTTTCCACAACTACTAAGAAAATTATTAAACATATTTTCCCTAAGCTGTACGAAATTTCTTGCACATTTAAAATCGTTAGTTGCACCGATTTAGATACCAGAAAGTCAGAAATCGTATTAATGTATTAATAGTGTCGATTGTGATCGTCTCGACTATATATTATCTTTAAAAATTGAATTGTATACAGTTAGGAAGTCTATTATCACGCATTAATTTGATGTGAGCTACCTATTATTTGACATATGATATATTAAGAGTTAGGTATTAAAAAAAAGTTAAATTAAATTTCAAGTCAATGACTTGAACAATTTGAGTTCCCCACATGAAGCATGGGAAATTAATAAGAAATATTGCTGGATTTGAATCTGATTCAATTTTTTCTCTGTACACATTGATTGATGATTCTTGATAATAATTAAATGAATTTGGTACTCAATTTGGCACCTTGGTAACTAGCACCCACGTCTATAATTAATATTCCAACTTATTTCCTTTTTGGAAATATCATAATCATCGATTCAATCAATTCAATGCTGAAAATAGGGATGACAATTTAACCCGTTTCATCGGGTATCCGCCCCGCCTCGGATTCACTAGGTAATCCATGTCCCGTTAACTAAAAGGATGGGTATAAGTTTTGAAAATATCACCCGTAGCGGGTATGGGTTTTTGTATTATAAAATAAAGTAAATTACAACCACTCCTTAGGTATGATAAAATTACAAAAATCCCTTCCTGTTTGGGTAATTACAACAACTCATCAGCTATAAATTTTCTTACACATCCACCCTTGCGGTTTCAAATTTAGTGGAATCTTCTTGATTATATGGAGTATTACCCGTTTTATCTCATTCGAGCTCTACATTTTGAAGTAAGATGATCATAAGATGTGTTTTTTGGCTTGTATACAATAGAACCTCGATAAATTAATACCCGATAAATTAAATTATCTCGCTTAAGTAATAAATTTTCCCGGTCCCGACTCGGGGACAACTTGCTAAATTAATAATTCGCTAAATTTATAAGATAATACACATTCGAAAAATTTAAGAAGCCACATATAATATATAAATTAATAATCCATAAAAATAATTCTTAAATTACTTGGTATAGTACATATTTAATAGATCTATGAAAGCGTAATACAATATAATTTAATTGTTGTTTGTTTCTTCTTGAAGTTCACATTACCATCAATCTCGTCCCTCACTTTTCTTAACATGGTTAGAACTTTCGATATTGTTTTGTCATAACACAACATAAAATCGTTCTATACCATTGTTGCTTTAAGAGCTTCCGTTCGTGAAAAGGGCTCTACAATGCATTGATCTAATGGTACAATGAATAATATACACGTAAAAAAAATTAAAAAAATATATATTTATTGAAAATAATAATAAAAGTAATTTCATATAAATTAATAATTATTAATTTATCGATAAGTTAATATTTCGCTAAATTAATGAAATATTGATGGTCCCAACAGTATTAATTTATAGATGTTTAACTGTATATCAGATTGTGGTGCATCAGAAACTGTATTTTTACACAAAACGAGTACAAACTAGAGCACATTTCACGGAATCTAGATGATTATGTTGAATTTGACACCATAAGGGTGGAGGTGTAAGAAGATTCATAGTCGACGGGCAGATGTAATTAGCCAAACAAGAGGGGGATTTCGTAATTTGATGTTGTAATTTACCCAAAATGTATAAATCAAAAATTAATTTCATAAAATACTCCCAAAATTGAAGGCCTTGTAAGAAAATAAATAGAAAGTGGAGGGTCTCTCAAATAAAAAAAAAAAAAAAAAAAAAACCAGCTAGTCGTAATTAAATAAATAAATAAATCAATATTATAATCAAAGTATCTCTCAAATTAATTATTTTGATTTCAACGCTTATATACAAAAAAATTCTACGTCGTAGAAGTAAGCCACGTGGTCGGTGTATGTTGGTCAGAGAAAATCTCAGTCAACTCTCAATTTGTCCACAAACGCGATTTTAGTGTTCATTTGTTTACTTTGTCTCTGACTTTGTTGCCTGCTTTGTTGACCTTGTCGCCATTTTTTGCTCTTCTCTTCCTAATGGAGTAATAAAAGAGTTGATTTTCTCAATTTTTACTTAATAATTGTGATTAGTGAGTAATTAGAGGATTAATAGAAAGATTAGTTGTTGGACAAAGAAAAGCGTGCTGGGGTCATGGTGTTGACCATTATTTGATCAAAACATGTTTTCTTAGAAATTTGGGAAAGAAAAGTTTTTGTCTTTCATGTTTGACATGGGAGCCACACAATCAAGAATAGGTATCATCTATAATATATATATATATATATATATATATATATATATATATATATATATATATATATATATATATATATATTTGTGTGTCGACTATAATTAATTCTTGATAAATTGATTAGAGTAGGATTGTGAACGAGCCGAGCTTCCCAGAATTTCCAGGCTCAAGCTCAAGTTTGTGTCCACGAGCTCATCGAGCTTTTATTTTCTAGGCTCAAGCTCAAGCGGATTTATCGAGCTCTAGTTTAGCTCATTTTGTTAATTTTTATTTTTTTTCTAATTTTTATATTAATATTACTTTATTTCATTAGTATAAATTATTTATCTAACTATAAAAATAAAAATAAGTTATAGAAATATATTTTTCGAGCTTTTTATCGAGTCGGCTCATCGAGATCACGAGCCGGCTTAGCTCATTTACCACCCCTAGATTGGAGGATCGAATTCTGGTCCTTAGATATTGCAACTTTTTTGGGTAATAAATGAACCTGCAGCCAATAATAGAGGTGCATTGTGTAAACATACATACTCGTATAATAGTTTGCATGCAAATTATACGAGATACGTAAATCACACTAAGCTAATCATGTGTAACAAACTCGATCTAGCAACTGTTGCCAAGAAAATTCGAACCTGGATCAATTAACACAAGTTCACTTTTTTCCAATCGCTAGGGATTTATTGCGCTCTTTTTACTCTACTAAATTACTAATGAGGCGTCTTATGACTGTAATTATACTTTATTATTGGATTATGCCGACAAATATCGAATATACCGATATATATATTCCATTTAATTACGTCCATTTATTCAGTAGTTGGGAATTAATTAGAGTAAAGAAAATTTTGGGAGATGTATTAGTACATGCTTACTAGTCAGTAGTGATAACGATGTGAGTTTATGACAGCCTTTGAGAAGTTCACGCGTAGTCCATTTGTCTAAGTCATTGACCAATAATACACCATATTTTTTTATTATTTATTATACTTAAAATTAAACCTTATTCTGTAAGAAAAATATAATTTTATTCGATTTTATTTTCAGATCCCAATTAGAGAATAAGAAATCAAAAAAAATATATTTAAATTTGGTGATATAATAAAATAATTTTCTTTAATACATCATTAAATTAATTTATGCAATTTGCCCATCTATTTACATAGAGTCTTTCAAATTATAATTAGTGGTAATAACATTTAATTCACAAGAGAAATAAATGTTGGACCATACTTTTTTTATATGTGTGGAGTCAAGAAGTATGGTCCAAAAAGTCTATGCAAATGGCCAAGGCTAACATGTATCTTATTCTTCCCACTTGCTTATCTAGTAACCGTCACAGTCAACTCTCAATCAAAACCCGTTCACAAATATCTCGTTATTACGTGGTAGTTAGATGCTACATTCAGTTATATACACGGAGTATACATTAATCGCAGATCTATACATAACTACACACGCATTCGTGTATATGTTTGCTTCGTGAATGGTTAATTTACGGTTGAAATCCACCTGATGAAAATGACGAGGTGTCTGGTGTATGACTAGGTTTTATTCGATTATTAAATTATGAACAATATTTATGTTGGAAATATTAATATTAAATGATACATTTTATTAAATATGAGTTCGAATTCCACTGCCATCTATTTCAAATATTTCAAGTGTAGAGCTTATGTACAATTGGATTGATTTTTAGTTTTTAGAAACTCGAAAAGTCTGGTTCAGCCAGCTTTTATATATTTTTATAATTTAGTAAATTATATAAATAATTCACAATATATTTATGAGAAAAAAAATGAATAATAGTAGAAATCGACTATTTCCAAACTAATTACCGTAGCTTACTATTTTTTTTTTCTAATTATAATAAAAATATATTTATAGAGTAATAATCTAATCAATATATATATTCGTGTGAGTGATTAAACAAGTAAACATTAAACAATAGATTTGCCGTCAAAATTCGTTGACTTCCTCAATGGTTTGTCTATCTCTCTTTCCTCTTCATTTTCATCACGTGGAACGCGCCGCATACCTAGCGACGGTGGATTTTTTACTTTAAGCAATTCGCCGGCCCAACCCGACCCGACCCACTTACCCGCCCAAATACAAATATCTTCTCTCTCTTCGAACGGGTCAAACTCAGTCTCATTTCCGTCACGAATTTCTCAAAAGTCTAAGATATGGGGCCAATGCCAGCTGGCATACCCCACGCTGACGCACCACCTCACGTCATCTCTATCCTTAAAACCCTTTCACCTAGTAAATTTTTAAAAAATAATTAATTTTCATTTCTATTTAATTATTAATTTCCGGATAAATAAATAGAATAAATAAAACTAAAGGAATTGCATGCAGCCACATATGTGTATATATAGGCTCGTTCGTTGCATTTGTAACAGACTTTCTTTCTTACACTCTCTTTCACGCCCGTTTAATTTTAACCCTCCATTCTTTCTTCCCTTAAATAAACCAAAATAAATAAAATAAATAAATAAATTCAGAGCCTAATAATTTAGATCTTCTTCGTTTTCTTGATCTTATTTATGGACAAAGGCTGGTGTCTAACCCTCGAAAACTCCGACCAATCCCGGTTTTTCTGCAACAACAAATCGAATTTCGGGTTGTTTAGTACTTCGACTTCAAGTCCGACGTTGATTAATAATAACAATCATCGGAACAATTACGGAAGTACCCTCAACATGTTTCCGGTCATGAATTCTAGCGGTGGCGACGAGCATCATCCCCCACCTCCGGTGGCGGCGGCGGTTCGTGGGGAAGTGGACTTTTTCTCCGATAAGAAGATGCCGTTCGATAACGATCGTCAAGTTCATAATAATACCCTAGTCAAGAAGGAAATCCATTCTTTTGCTCAAGTAAACGTGAGTTTGCTTGTTAGAAGAACTTATAATTAACTTTAATTTTTTATTTATTATATTATATTTTTTACTATAAATTATATTGATTTGTTTTCGTTCAATTGACATTTTAATGTGTGTGTTTAGACTGGTTTGCAACTTTTGACTGCCAACACCGGGAGCGATCAATCCACGGTGGACGACGGGGTTTCCTCCGGTGTCGAAGATATGCGTGCCAAAATCGAGGTAATTACGTAATTTAAAGAACTATTCAACAATATAGGGTTTTGATAATTATATGCAATTTTCTTTTTCTTTTTTTTTTTTTTTTTTTGACGAATTATATGCAATTTTCATGATATATAATAATAGCTTGGACAACTTCAAGTTGAGTTAGAAAGAATGAATGGTGAGAACCAGAGGTTAAGAGGGATGCTAACTCAGGTTAGCACTAACTACACCTCACTTCAGATGCACCTCGTGACCATGATGCAAAAGCAGCAAAATCCAACCACACAACTTAACCATGATCAGCAGCAGGTACTAATTAATTAATTAATTAATTAATTAATTAATTAAATTAAATTAGCCTTGAATTAATTATAAGTTCCTTAGTAATTAATTAATATTCAATATAATCTTCAGATTGTTGTTAGAGAACACGAAATAAAGAAACACGAAGATGGAGGATTGTTAGTTCCACGGCAATTCTTCGATTTGTCGAATCGAATATTATCCGATGAACGATCTGATTCTTCTTCAGAAGAACGAACGATTTCAATTGCCGAATCGCCTAATAGGATTGACCGAGAGGATCAAAACCGAGAATATTCCCCTAATAAGGCTCCCAAATTGGACCACGCTAAACCCGTTGAACAATCGACCGAGGCCACCATGCGAAAGGCTCGTGTCTCCGTTCGAGCGAGATCCGAAGCTCCCATGGTAATTAATTAATTACTAACTGAATAATTATACGCATTAATTGCATTCAACATCCCTGTATTATATCGAATTGCTAAAAACACTCCATATTATAATAAATATTAGTAATTATTTCCCCTTTTACTTAATTTTATTAGCAATTTACCGCTTAAAAATGCATCATTTAGGAGGTTGTGTTCTAAAAAAAAGGCTTCATAGTTCATAATGGGTTTTTGCTAATATTTCTAATTAGGGGGGTTTTGTTGGCAATTTCACATAACATAGGGGAGTTGAATGAAATAAACTTATAATTTATTTATTTATTATTATTTTTTTTTTAATTGTGAAGATTTCGGATGGATGTCAATGGCGGAAATACGGGCAAAAGATGGCGAAGGGGAATCCATGCCCACGTGCGTATTACAGGTGTACGATGGCGGTTGGTTGTCCGGTTCGGAAGCAGGTTCAGAGGTGCGCGGAGGATCGGACAATCCTAACCACAACCTACGAAGGGAACCACAACCACCCGCTGCCGCCGGCGGCCATGGCGATGGCGGCCACCACCTCCTCCGCCGCGAACATGCTCCTCTCCGGCTCGATGTCGAGCGCCGACGGGTTTATGAACCCGAATTTCCTGACGAGAACGATTCTCCCGTGCTCGTCCAACGTGGCAACCATCTCGGCTTCCGCGCCGTTCCCGACAATCACGCTGGATCTCACCCAGAGCCCGAACCCGTTGCAGTTCCAACGACCCGGCCCGCAATTCCAGATCCCTTTTGCTATTCCGAATAACCCGAACCCGAACCCGAACATGTTGATTCCTCAAGATATGTACAACCAATCCAAGTTTTCGGGTCTGCATATGCCTCAGACGACGTCGTATGCCGACACCGTCAGTGCGATAACCGCCGATCCGAATTTCACGGCGGCACTAGCGGCGGCGATCTCCTCCATTATCGGCGGAAATCAAGCTCAGGACAACGGCAACGCTAATCCCAACTTAAATAATACAACTGACGGCAACAACAAGAACCAGTAGGGATTTGCATATATATATGTAATAGATATTCTTCTTCTAGATTGTTTGTTCATTTTTGAGGTGGAATTATCAACATGCATGTTCATAATATATATATATATATATATATATATATATATGTTACATTCTTTGTTATAATGTTGTTGTGGAAATTTAATTTTAATATATCGATTCGTATTTATTTATCCTTGAACTTGAAGTTACAATTAATTCATCATGCATATTTATCTAGCAATTTATTTTGCCAAATTTCAACGTGAGAAATGTTGTTTCAGTTGTAATAATACCGTTTCGAATTCATACGTGATTTTGACGATTTTGGGTTTGAATTTGGTTAAATTCATAACACATTAATTTGTATTTTTTTAAGTTAGCTCACTAATCCAACTTGAATCATTAATATTCGATGTCGGGTGAGAAATATATGAATAAATTAATAAATGTTGCCCGCAGTTTTCGTGTTTTGAATTTAGCCAAAGTTAGAGTAGAAAAGAAGAGTCAGAATCACGTTCAAAATCAATACTATCTTACTCAAAATTGAAACGACATTACACATAATTACACACACACACACCCATGTGTATATGTACTTAGTGAATGATTATTTAATCAAATCTAAGGTTGAAATTCACTCGATATAAATAAGTAAGTGTAACATCTAACTCTCTAGGGGTATGAACGAGCCGAGCTCGCCTCTTTTGGCAGGCTTGAGCTCGACCTCGAGTCTATTTTGTCGAGCTCGACCTCGAGCTCTAGCTCGTCGAATTCCTTCATTTTTGCTCGAGCTCGAGCTCGTTTCTATTTTGTCGAGCTCGAGCTCGAAGCCAAGCTCATTTTGTTGTTGTTGTTGTTTTTTTTTTTCTTATATCTTTTTAATTATTTTATTATTATTAAAAATGATTTTAAAAAAATTACAAAATAAACACTAAATTGTAATTATATACATTTTTTTAATATTTTATTGTTACTTATTTCTATAATATTTTATATTATTATACATTGTTTAAATAAAAAATAATAAATAAGCTCACGAGTCGATTCGTGAGCTCACGAACAACTAAAAACTGTCTAGAGTTTGAGCTCGAATAACTCGAGTCCAGGTTCAATGTTTTTTCGAGTCGACTCGGCTCGTTACCACCCCTATAACTCTCCGATTTTAGAGTATTCGTCCAAATAATGGGAAAACAACAAAAGAAATTAAAGGTTAGCATTAGACAATTATGGAATTGTAGTAAATGATATATGGAGGACCAATCGTGAAACAGTGAGACGTTTGAAAAGTTATGTACTTTAATTGGTCCAGGTCAACAACTACGGCCATTATTTGTTTGACACGTCAATAATGATAATACTTCAAAATTTCCGAAAAGGACTTGTCTGCAATTTCTTTATTTTTTTCAGCCCAATAATTAATGTCAGACAATCAAGGTGTTACACTGATAATAACATTTCATATTTTTACCATATTTAGTAAAATATTTAATAATTGTTTTTAACGGCTAAGTGAGATACGTTATTGACTTTATTGCCACAGATGTCGTCATGAAAATTGAAGTGCAACCAATCAACATGTGCTTTAGATACTTGTACTTTACCAATCAACAGATTCTTTTTTATTTTTATTTTTTTTATTCCTTTTTTTTAATAGTAATATTCCGAACGTGTAATAGAACTGCATCCACCGTACGATGTAATTACATTTTGATTGACTTTGGATTTGTCATTTCCAAATCCTCCATGTGAAATAGTTGACTCGGGATTAGATTTAGTTGAAAGATGCAACGTGTAACCTATATCGTTAAGTTTAGAGACGAATGGCAAATATTTTTTATGGGCCCACACCTAAGGTTTATATTGACAAGACTATAGAGGCACATAAAAATCAAGTTCAAGTAGACTAAGTCGCTAAAGTAGACCACAATATAAATAGTCAGGTCCAAGCTGACTCAAGTTAAGAGCTTTAAGCCTATGAGAATATATTTCTCCGTATAAACATTCGGATCCGTCACAATTAAAGTTACATAATTCATAACTCCTGAGCAGTCTGTTGAATTCTCTGATTTTTCTCACCATCTTGAGTTGACTTGATCATCGGAGGGTTTTCGCCGAACCAAGCTCCGACGCCCTTGTGACATAGGTAGTACAACCCACACAAGGAATCAAGAATGCTAGAGAGGAATTGCGAAACGTGACGTGGAATCGAACCACGTCTGTTTCTATTCATCATTAAAAAAATAATAATAAATAAAGAAAGAAAGAAAAAAAAGAAGAAGAGACAATCTTATGCTTGGGCCTTAACTTTCAATTAACTAATTGATGGACAACAAAATTTTCTATTTTGAGACTTTAAAATTCCATTGGCCCAATATGTAACCCAAAAACTACTGGGTTTTTACAATCATTTAGCCCATATATAATATATATCCATATCATAAATGAGAAAATCAATTTATATTTCAAGAAAATCTTTTTTTTTTTTTTTTTTTTTTTGCAACAAGACTTCAATTTCATTTGCTAGATTTTATTACAGGAAAACACTGCTTGTAATTTCCATTAAATACATAAACCATTAAATAAAATTGGTACATTCAATTAAATAAATATATAACAAAGTCAAACAAAATTTATAATCTATAATTAAATTCAAAAAAAAAATTGAAATAGAAAAAAAAAAAAAAAAAAAGGATTAAAAAAGGCTCACACAAAGCACGAACCTCGTAAAAGACGCAAAAAACCAAAAGTGCTGTTGTTGCGTGTTACGCCACCTCTCATACTTTCCCGACACGTAAGCAATCAGTTACAAGAGCTGCATTATGCTCCCCTCACATAAAACGCCGTCGTTTTCCTAAATTCCAATTTCCACCGTTGGATTGAATGCAGTGACGATTGAGATCTAACGGTGCATCGTAATCCCATGGTCCGCGACGTAACCCACCACCACCCTGCGTAACCTTTGCTTACACTTTTCCAGCGTCCCCACCAGAACGAGCATCTCGTGAAAGGAACAATATCCAACGGCTGGTATTAAGAAGTCCATTTAATCAACGGCTGGGATTTATTTTGAAGAAAGCTGATCTCATAATAAATGTTGGTTTTTTTCTCTTCTATTTATACACACTGGGCACTGAGGCTGATAATCCCAACCCAAAGCTTTCTCTCAATTCCGTTTAATCTTTTCTCTCAACTTTTTTGGTGAGTTGTAATTAATTTCTCGTAATTAATTTTTGTTGAGTAGTAATTAATTGAAAATATCTCTTGTTTAATGCGTGCGTGATTGTGTTTTTTTAATGGCAGATTTTTTCTGAATTGCATTGGTGAATGTTCTGAGCTTGGATTATTTTTTATTTTTTATTTGCATTTAATTTTATATTTGCTTGTGATGATTAAGTTTCCCTCTGATTCTGTTTGCATTGTGATATTAGGAATTGTGATTTATGATGTTTATGATTGTTGTTAATTGCGGTTTATGTTTTGTTCAGGTTGATTTTATACTTAGGTTGAATTATGATTATTTTTTTAAATATTTTTTGGTGTTGCATGTTATAAAAGAGGAAAATTAATTGTTATATGAGGAAAAAGCTGATGCATGAATTATATTCTCAAATAGTGGGAGTTTAAATCGAATCGGTTTTGAGTTGGTGTACATCATCCTTAATTGTGTTAACAATCGAATTGCTCGATTTTCGTGCAATTGATTCGATTTCAGGAGCTTAATTTTTATCGACTTAGTTCGATCCTATTTTATGTTATAAATATACGTATGATCACTACAGGGGGAGCTAATTGTATCAAATTTTGTGTGTCTATTTTTTGGGGTTGCGTTATTGCCGATTTTTAATGGACATGTTAATTCGATGTTACAGGCACAATGGGAACTGTATTTAGAGCACTTGCGCTCGGCCTTTTTCTTTCGAGCCTATTGTTTTCGATTGCAATTTCAGAACCAGATGATGGGCTGATCCGGATCGGGCTGAAAAAGTTGAATTTGGACCAAAACAACCGGCTTGCCGCTAGGCTTGAGTCCAAAGAAGGAGAAGAATTGAGAGCTTCGATAAGGAGGTATAGTCCACGGGGTAAAACTGTAAATAATGCAGAGACTGATATTGTTGCGCTGAAGAATTATATGGATGCTCAGTACTTTGGAGAGATTGGTGTCGGAACACCACCTCAGAAATTCACCGTTATATTCGATACTGGTAGCTCCAATCTGTGGGTTCCTTCTACGAAATGCTATTTTTCCGTAAGTATTTTGACTGTCGCAAAAATTACTTTATTTTTGTCGATTAGATAAAGTAATAGTCAGAAGTTTGATGCGGTGAATCTTGATGCAGGTTTCGTGTTTCTTCCATACCAAATACAAGTCGAGCCAGTCGAGTACCTATAAAAAGAATGGTTCGTTTTCTTCCCTGTTTTTTTCACCTCTTGTATATTGTATGGATTTGAATTCTTGAAAGGAAAAAAAATCGATAATGTTTCTTGGATCATTATCGTTGCTTTGTGTACTATCGTGTATTATCAAGGGGTGATCGTAATTTCAAAGATGCGTATGGATTTTTCTAGAAAAAAAAAATGTAAAAAGACGTGAAATATTTGTATCGATTTGTTATTTTATTGTCAATTTTTTTTTTGAGTCTTTGGCATTGTCTGTACAGGAAAATCTGCCGCAATTCAATATGGAACTGGAGCTATCTCTGGATTTGTTAGTGAGGATAGCGTCAAAATTGGTGGTCTAGTGGTCAAGGATCAGGAATTTATCGAGGCAACAAGTGAACCAGGTGTCACATTTTTGGTTGCTAAGTTTGATGGCATATTGGGACTTGGTTTCAAAGAGATCTCCGTCGGAAATTCAACCCCTGTCTGGTACAAATTGAACCTCTTTTTTTGTGTAGATGCATTTGCATTTGCTCTTGTTTTCTAAGCATTACTACACTTGTACATCTTTGCAGGTACAACATGCTTAAGCAAGGTCTTATTAAGGAACCCGTGTTCTCATTTTGGCTCAACCGCAATGTGGGTGACGAACAAGGTGGTGAAATTGTCTTCGGTGGTTCCGATCCAAATCATTACAAGGGTCAACATACATATGTTCCCGTCACACAGAAAGGGTATTGGCAGGTAAGTCGTCAACATAATTTTTTGGCCCTATTAAAATTTACTCACCATTTTTTCTAACTTTTTTTATTATATATTTTTGTAAATAGTTTGAGATGGGTGATGTTCTAATTGACGGTAAAGAAAGTGGTATGTCATCTTTCATTGCTTTGTGCTGCATAATGTACTTAATTACAAGCAATATGATAATCTAACGCAATTGTGGTTTTTAGGTTATTGTAGTGGTGGATGCTCGGCAATTGCAGATTCCGGGACTTCTCTCTTAGCTGGCCCAACTGTATGTTTACCAAATTAAATTCCATTTGCTTTATTACCACAGATTTGTTTTAGAATATAATTCAAAAATTAACTAATTTCGATGATATACTTCGTTGTTTCTTGTCCTTGTGTTTGTAGACTGTGATCACCATGATTAACCATGCGATCGGAGCCTCTGGAGTTGTTAGCAAAGAATGCAAGTCTGTGGTCGATAAATACGGGCAAACTATTATGGATCTTCTTTTGGCAGAGGTAGGAACAAATTACGCACTATGCCATTATTCATTTTGTCCTTTGTTTTTGAAGTTCTGCATTAAGTCTTAAGGTGCTTGCTAATTCGGGACTGAATAATGTTCAACAGGCAAAACCAAAGAAGATATGCTCCCAAATTGGATTATGCACATTTGATGGAACTCGTGGTGTGAGGTTAGTCCCTACGGGTTTATTTATTATTATTTTTTTTTCTGAGATTTTAATTTCTTTAAAAAAATATATTTAAAAGTCGATTTTTTCGTGTTTTCTGAATAGTGGGGCAATCGAGAGTGTTGTTGATGAGAAAGAAGGAAGATCGTCCGGCATGAGTGAAGCCATGTGCCCTGCTTGTGAAATGGCCGTTGTTTGGATGCAAAACCAACTCAAGCAAAACAAGACTCAAGACCACATTTTGAACTATGTCAACGAGGTAATCTTTTAACTTTTTTTTAATATTATTATTACAAGGATTACTAGGTTTTTAGTTTTGCTGTCTTATTTCGTGTTTCGAAATTACAGTTGTGTGAGAAACTGCCTAGTCCAATGGGACAATCAGCTGTTGACTGTGCAAGCATTTCTTCTATGCCTAGCGTTTCCCTCACAATCGGCGGAAAGAAATTCGATCTCGCTCCAAAAGAGGTACTACAAATAATAATACATCGCCTAATAATTGCTAATAATTTTTGTGGTCGATTTTTATCGTAATTAAAACGTGCAATTAACTTTGATGGTTTTTATTGTATTAAATCAGTACATACTCAAGGTGGGTGAGGGTGCTCAAGCACAGTGCATAAGTGGTTTCACCGGTCTCGATATTCCTCCTCCCCGTGGACCTCTTTGGTAATAATTTAATAGTTTTTCTCTCTCGAGTTTTATATGTATATACATTCGGATATTTATACGAGTTCTATTACAGGATTTTGGGAGATATTTTCATGGGTCGATACCACACCGTGTTCGATTACGGCAAGCTAAGAGTTGGGTTTGCTGAAGCAGCTTAGAAAAAAACACTCGTTTTAAGGTTATAAGTAGAGACTCGTTTCTGTGTGTATCTGTGTGCAAACAGAGTGGTTTAGACATTTGTTTTTTTTAAGGTACTGTCTTTTGCCTTAAACAAAAACAGATTTATGTAAATGTATGCACTACTCTGTTTTACCTTATAATATATAAGAGTCCTCTTTTATTAATTAATTAATTGGGGTTTAATTGTCTTTTAAACATGCAATTATCATACAGGAAAAATCAAAATAAAACAAGAAAGCCATTGAACAATACAGATTCCAATCAAATGAGCTTTTAATCTTTAGTTAGTGTCATTGACTTTGCTTTCAGATTCAGAAATATTGCCCTGGAAATTCAAATAAATAAAATTAATTAATTAATTAAAAATCAGAAAACGGAAGGCAAACGAACATCAAGCGGTGAATTTGATAATGTACCAGAAACAGGCGACGACGCTTTGGACGATAACTCGAAACTGCAGTGGCACGTACTGGTGATTTATCCATCCAACAACTGGCCAGAACTGCATAAATATATCAATTCACCTCCAAAATTAATAATTCTCTTTATCAAAGAAAAATATATTAAAGAAAACTACATTAATAAAAAAAAAAAAAAAAAGGAATCTTACAGTCCATGCTGCATATTGCACACTAGGATATTCCTTCTTGATTTTAGATTTCACATGAATCCAGGGTCTTCCTGTACACATTACAAGACTCGAGTAATTACGATATAATTTTAATTTAATTAATCGATCGTATAAAAAACATTTTCGATAAGTTATATAGAAGCAGGCTCACCCTCAACAACTAATCCATAGTAAAGCATAAAAACCATGTTGTTCCAAGGGGAAGATGTCAGCTGCTCAAGCATCACCTGAAATTATTATTATTATTATTATTATTATTATTATTTTTTAATTTGGCATTTTAATTAAATAAATATTGGGAAAATAGTAATTAAAAGGAAAAATAAAATGAAAAAACCTTTTTGGCAACAGTTGTCTTATCCTTCTTCCCCTTGAAAATTTTATCCAACATTATGTGAAAATAATGCCCAAATGGTCCCAAATAAGCTGACCCGAAAAGCTGCACTTTGATCAAACTAACTTGGGTTAATTTTTGTTATTTCTGTAATTTTGGCACACCATGACCAAACAGTGCCTTAAACAGGGAATTTATATTTGGGTAAATTACGGCCACCTCCCTGAAGTAAGTTCAAATTACGAACCCCCCTCACGTTTTGATAATTACAAATCACCCCTCAACTATGAACTTTTTTTACACCCTTACGGTGTCAAATTTAGCGGAATATTCTTCAATTTGTACCCGTTTACCCCATTCGAGCTCCATATTTTGAAATAAGAAGATCATAAGATGTATCTATTAGCTTGTAAATATCAAATTGTGGTGCATAAGAAACTGCATTTTTGCACGAAATGAGTACAAACTAGAGAACATTCCACGAAATCTAGAAGATTCTGTTAAATTTGACACCATAAGGATGAACGTGTAAGAAAATTCATAGTTAGGGGGTCGATATTGTACTTGCAGAAACATGAGGGCGTTTTTCGTAATTTGATACCCAAAAAAAAAAAGAAGAAAAAAGAAATACCACTTTGAGAAGAAGGCGTTTGATTTGAAGCTTCTTGATGCCGGAGAGCTTCTGGGCCACTATATCACTGATCGCCGACAAAACTCCCGCCGTTATCACCTACAATTACCATAATCAAAGATTAAAATGAAGAGAGAGAAAGAAGAGAGAGAGAGAGAGAGAGATGAAAACAACTTTGGTTCTCAAAGGGTGTTGTTGGAGCTGCAACAAATACAGATGAAACCCCTTCTTCCCTACTGATGATCCCATCCCTTATTTCTTTGGTCCGATTCAAAGAGATAAATTTTTTATTATGAATCTGATTTTGTTAAATCTTGAATATTCTGACCCTTTGGACTCAATATATAGTATATTTTTTCCTGGTTGTTTGACTATGACTAATAATTGGGCTGCGCATTGGCCAATGTTTTATGAAAATGGCTTCTAATTGGGTGGCGGATTAAGAAAATGTACCAACCACTTTTGATTTGATAATTGTGAATTGACCCAATTGGTATGTTGTTTTCCGACACCGATGACATTTCTGGTTGGGTAGTTTGGATAGATAGCTATGGATGAAATATGTAATGTTGGGACTAAACTGCTGATTCATAATAATTAATATTTTTTTTGGTTGGAGTTATATGACTGAAACTAATAATCTCTGCACTAACAATATCATGTTTTGTTTGCTTGACCAAACTATTTTATGTGGGTTTATTAACAAAATTACTGTGTTGCCCTTAAAATATATTTGATGTTTGATGTTGATAAATATTGCAAACACAAAAGATAATATACTTTGTTTGCAAATACAAAATTATAGTTACAATCACATTAAAAAAACCTGTATAGGATGGATATACTAAAAAATCATACAAATTTCATAGAAAGGGCCTCCCTTAGATCTCCAGGAAAATACAAACAAACAGACATAGATTGGATTTTCAAGTCTTCATTACCACATTTTCAAGAATAAAAAAAAAATGACTCCACTTGTAGTTGTGTATTCCTCTCCAAAAAAGGTACTTTTACTCTATCTAATTTTGCTAATTTTCTTCACTTCAACTTTCATTTCTTTTGCCAATCAAAACCAACAACGGCCACAAAAGATTTCAAGAATGTTGTTAGATTTAAAAGATGATGGTGAAAGTAATCAGCCAATCACTATCAAGAAAAAATCCACTTTTTTTTTCAATGGCAAAAGAAGCTTTTTCAACCAAGAACAAAACCAAACTCATTAATCCCACTGCAACTCCATCAAAGAACCAAACAAAGTCAATCAAAATCACCATTAATGGCGGACTCAAGAACCAGACTAAGCTGATTAAGCTCCCATCTAATTCATCATCAAAAAACAAGACTAAGACAAGTTCATTAGACTCAACCACTATTATTAAAACCCCACTAAAGAAACTCAATTTCACTTCAAAGAAAACATCCTCGAACTTCACAAACACCAAAAATTCTTCCGATCTACCATCCAACAACAAAACAACAGCAGCAACGAAAAAATGCCAATTAGAAAAAATCGTCGTTGAAAAAGCCTTAAAAAACCCAGCTAGATCGATTCCGTCTCCTCATCCGACCTAGTTTCAAAATTCAGAGACCTCCCGTTACAGGAAAATACTAGAAACTTAGAGGGTTTTATAGTGAAATTGAAGGGATTAAGCACCAAAACAAAGTAAAGAATGGAAGACTGCAAAGAGCAGGACCGGCCTTTGGATACTTACCTGTAAAAAACTAGATCTGAGATCTTTGAAAGGGGACTTGAAGATCTGAAGTATTTATATTTGTTAATTTCGTAATTGTTGTATTATTGAAGGACATTTTCGATAATTCACCTCGATTAGATGTTGGGATTGAAGATGTGATAAGTTGTCAAGCCAATTTTGGCTTGACTATTAATAATTCAATTGGGTGATTATATTGGTGGGACCACTTGTCAAGGATGGGTATTTCAACCAAACCAAACGTTGTATACAAGAGTACAATTCATCCCATCATGAGTAATAATGCAAACCAAAGAGGCCCCGAGTGATTTTTAGTCGTTGACAGATATTGTGAAATAACTTTCCAACAAACACACATACATGTGTGTATATGTGTGATTGTGTGCAGATTAACGGTTAATAATGACCCGACGTATTTTATTTCACACTGTATAACTCTTAATCTCTTAATAATCAATTTTATTGAATTTATTTGTTTTCTGTAATCATGCAATCTTTGAACGGATGTCCAGCAATTCGACATTTCAACGTCGAATACATGAATGAACTTATCTAGGAAGATCAAGGCAATGGATACGGGTAAAAACCCGAACCCATACCAGATTCATTCGATCTTGGATCTTGAATTTCAAATCCGACTCGACTACACACCCTCAAACCCATATTTTGGGAATTAAAGAAAGGCATTTTTTCGACACATTCATCATTCATAGGACTTTGAACTCCACACACATTCACGAAGATGCGTGTTTTTTAATTCGATATAAACGACGACGATTAATATATATGATGTACTTCAATCGATTTAACATTAGAAAAAAACTGGCTAGTTAATTAATTAGGCATTAAGCTAAAGTTATATATATTTAGTTGCTACATAAAATGATTCTAATAACATCTAATTACATTTAACCAAGAGTAAGTTCGAGCGAGATGTCATTAGCTTCATCCCCTGAAACGGAAGTTGATTGTTCTTTGTCTCGCATCGGCACTCGTTTCTCCTCGCCTGTCTGAAAAATACGGAACAACCACTATTTAATTTTCTCAACATATTTTTCTTTAAATTTAAAATATTTTTCATGTAATTTAAAGAGAAAAATAAATAAATATGTCTAGTAGATAGAAGTGGTTAATTACATTAGGGTTAAAGCAGGTGTATAAGTCGTTGAACATGGAATAATCGAATAATCTCCGGCCACTTTTTTCCAATTCAGGCACCTCCGGGCGGTAGAGCGGCGGAACAGCTTCACTCTCTGCCTTCTGCTTCAGTTTCACATCTTGCCTACAAAATTAATTAAGATTTATATATATTATCGAAATTAAAATTCATTGTTATATATATTATATACAACAATGATATTTTAGTAATTTTACTATTTATCAAATTAAAAAAAAAAATTATTTTCTTATATTATATTATAGCAATAAATCACTTTTGCATTTTAGAAGAATTTGTTTTTGCCATATATATATTTTGAACTTTGCTTCATTTATTAGACGACGACAAAGAAAAAAAATCAACGAAAACGGCTAAAATTTATTACACGGAAACAAAAATATCCAGAAACGACTCTGCGGATATGCGCTATATTGAATGCAAGTGTTTCTTACCACATCGGCGGCTGGCCGAGCAATCCCGAGCCGCTATAGTAGTGATGGTTCGAAGACGAGCCTGAACTAATACGCGAATCGTTTGATAATTGTGTAGTAGTGCCTTCAACTTTCTTGTTCTTCCCTGCCACAGATTCTACATATATATAAATAAACATATATAAATTTTTTTTCCATGCTAATTAAATATAATAAAAATGTAAAATGTAGCTTTATATATATATATATATATATATATACATGTACCATGTAGAAGCTGTTCATGCTTCATGCTCCTGTACATCTGTATTAATAAGTGACAGAAAAATGAGATAATATATTAAAATGATGACGTCACCCTTGAAAAAAAAATATTAATAGAGGTGTTTAATTATTATTCAAAAGAATTTGAAAAAGATGACGTCATAGAAACAAAAATTCTTCAAGAAAATCTGTAAACCCTAATTAATTTTTGTCTTGAACCTGAAGGTGGCTCTTGACGTGTGTTATGCTCAACCCCTTCACATTCATCATTTCCAGCACCATTTTCGGAGTTGCCCCTATATATATATAATTATATATATATATGATATATCATCAATAAATTAAATTAAATTAAATTAATTAATTAAATCCAAATTAAATGAAAAATATTTTACACAACTAATTAATTATGGTATGTTCTATGCTACATCGAATGAAATTTATCTTAATTAATTTATCGAGTTGTATCGTACCATACACTGATACACTTATATAATAATTAAAACCCTAATTAATTTTTAATCAAATTCTAAATAATTAATTAACAAGGGTGAAAAAAGAAAATCTATTTTTACACACACAGAAAACACGTAAAAATGTTTTCATCTTTCATGCACATGCAGTAATTGATTTTGATTAAAAAATGGATGTATATATAATTATATATATAATATATTTAATGACTTACGGTCTTCTCCGCCGAGGCGTTCGACGGCGGTGATGAAGCAGTGGTGAAGATCGTGGGTCCATCTCAGGCGAGGCATTTTAGACCTAACGTAAGGCCTGACGCCACTTTTCGCGGTGGTTGGCTGCGGCGGCGGGGCTCTGTTCTCCGTCTCCTTGCGGCAGCGGTGGAACCTGGCGGCGCCGCCGCCGGAGAAGCCATCCTGGAGGGATTTCATGCTGGAAATGAAGAGGGTTGGCGGAGAATCCATGGAAAAAAGAGTTTCTTTTTCAGAACTTCAGACAAGAGTGTTTTACAGACAGAAATTAATGAGAATAAATATAATAAGGTGGTGTGACAACAAAAGAGAATAAATATTAGGGATGATGAGTGAATGACTGTTGTCATCCATTTGTCTATTTCTTCTGCTTTTCGGTAGGGTTTTGAGGGTATTTTCGTCTTTTCATAATTTTAATATGGAGAAGAAAATGAGAAAATAGAAAATTAGAATTCCTCACGGAATTCCAGAGCCTTGGGATAAGTTCAAAAATTAATTTTATTTTATTATTATTTATTAAAATTATTTTCATTTATCGGCCAAAAAGAAAAACTTGCAATGAAAAGTTTTTTTTTTCTTCGAAATAATTAAAAAGATAAATAAACGCTATTTTATTTTCAAAATTTACTATATAATATACAAAAAAATAAATTTTTGAAGTGAGATGAAAATTGATTTAAAGCCACCATTAATGTAAAACCACTCTGCTTTGTGGGTTTCAACCAATGTTTTTAAAACCGGACCGGACATAGAACCGGACAGTCAACTGGGTCACGGTCGGACCGGTTCAACCGTGGTCCAACCGGGTTTTTGATTTTTTTTATATTTTTTTAATTTATTTATATATATAGAGTAATTATTTTATAAATAAATATTACTACCAATATATATCATTATAATTAATATTAACAATAACATAAAGACTATAATTAATTTTTTTGAATCACACAAAGTAAAATTAAATTAGATCAAATTTTACAATATAAAAACATAATTTTTGAAATTACGTAAAATACTCTGTCAAAAAAATAAAAGATATTACGTTAGTATATAAAAGTACAAATAAATTTCTGAGACATAAATTTTAAATAAAAAGTTTATGAGCATAAATTTTCAACCAAGGAAAAACATAATTGAAATAGTTGTACACTAATATACCTTTACGAGAACTTATAACATTAATAAAACATTCCGCCGACACCACACCACTCATCTCTCTCTCTCTTCTCCATTCTTTCCCCTTTCCCCTGCGTCTGGTTTTCTTAATTTTTTTTCCTATTTTTTTGTTTTATCTCCTCTTCCCTCACCACTCAACTCTGCAACAACCCAAATGAGAAGAAGATCGATTTTCAACAATTAATTTGTCTGTTTTTGAATTTGTTTTACAAAACCCGGTTTTCTGGCCGGTTTCCGGTTGTGTTGGTTCGACCGGGGTTTTCCCGGTTCTCAGTGTTTGACCCGGGTTTTAGGCATTTTCGGTTTTATGCATAGGACCGGACCGGATGACCAGCCGGTTCGCGGTTCAACCGGTCGAACCGGCCGGTCCGGTCCGGTTTTCAAAACATTGGTTTCAACTACTTTATTAATGTGCAGTTGAGTATATATTCAGTGGAGTCTTCCTCACCGTAATGCGGTGGGCACTCCAGAACTAAGGATAAAAACATTAATTACTATTTTCTTCAATAAATAATACCCGAAATTATAACTAATTTAATATTAATTAGATAGGGTACATTAAACATACCTAACAAAATATTGCGAATATTTTAAATAGGTGGTGGTGGAATTCAAAATCATGACCTTTCAATTGGTAATCTCGATTAAAAGTTTAATCTGCTAGTAAAATATATCATTTAATATTAATATATCATATATATTTTTGCCCGTTTGATTTAGTTAACTGAATAAATAAAACTTGACTCATTTTTTTTTTTGGTTATTGCAAATAAAAAGGAAATAAATACCAAAAAAGAATGCAAGAGGTGTAATGACACATGCATTGAGTAGAAATGTATGTCGTTAAGGAAACATACCAAAATTCTTTTTTTTTTTATTAATTTTTTTTATGTGGAGACAATTTTTCCTCATAATCTGGTTGGAATTTATAACTACAAACCCTTTTTCCAATTTTTATTTTTTTTCTATATATATATTTTTTTCTAATTTAAAAAATATATGTATATCGCTAAAAGTCTATGGCGGCCGAAAACGGTTGTACTCTGCATGGCTTCCCATGATCGTGGACACGTGTTGCTCAGCACGTAAGCACCGTTCATTCTTTTTTGGCAATTCTTACACAAAATATATAAAAATACTAATAATAGTAAAATAAAATAAAAATAAAAAAAAAATCCAAGAAAGTAATATGGGCCTTTTGTTTATTATTCGTATCGACAAAAGCCCAATATCTAACCTTTGATGGGCCGAATTTCAAAGCATGGGTCAGCTAAGGTTTGACCCAGACCCATTCATTTTGGACTTGATTTAATATATAAACGTTTAACAAATTACGAAATAATCCCTCCAGTTTGGGTAATTACAACCACTCCCCAACTATGAATATTTTTAGTGTCAAATTCAACAAAATCTTCTACATTATGTGTAATGTTCTCTAGTTTGTACCAAAAAAAAGCAGTTTCTAATGCATCACAATCTGATATTTACAAGCTAAGAGACACATCGCATGATCATCGTGTTTCAAAATGTGGAGATCGAATAGGGTAAAACGGGTACAAACTGGAGAATATTCCACATAATCTAAAAAATCACACTAAATTTAACACTGCGAGGGTGTACGTGTAAGAAAATTCATAGTTGAAAGGGTGATTGTAATTACCCAAACACGAGAGATTTTTCCGTAATTTGACCTTACATCAGGGGTTTGACCGTAATTTACCATTTATTTTATGACAGCAAACTAAACAATGGTTTTCCTAGGTAAACAAAAGACAAGAACATGCATATAATGTGTTCTTGTTTCCGGTCCCTTCGAGGACAAGTTTTCTGTATTGATAGATAAACCAGAGGCTCAACTGAACTGTACTGCAGCAACTGCCAACTGGAGAGAACTCTCTGTTCAACCATGTCAATGAAAAATGTCACCTTGATCACTCAACCTTCCTATGTAAGTCATCATCTCTCTCTCTCTCTCTCTCTCTCTCTCTCTCTCTCTCTCTCTCTCTCTCTCTCTCTCTCTCTCTCTCATGTAATTAATGTCACACAGATTACAATCGATAACGGATTCGTAAAGCTCACAATATCGAAGCCGCAAGGACTACTAACCGCCATAAAGTACGGAGGAGTCGAAAACATATTAGACCTCAAATCAAATGAATTAAACAGAGGGTATAGTAAGAAAAAAAAAAAAAAAAAAATCCACACTTCTTGTTACATACATTTTTACTACATAATAATAAAACTACATATATTCACTCACTATTAACAAAATCTCCAGTTATTGGGACATTAACTGGAACTTGCCAGGTGGCCACAACCGTTACCAACTGTATGTTTTCTTACAACTTTTTCACCAAATTAATTGAAAAAAAAAAAAAACCCGAAAACTACTAACATGAATATTCCTTTTTTTTCTTCATACTGATTAGGCTAAGAGGATCAGAATATACTGTGATTAATTACAGCAATAATCACTTAGAAGTCTCGTTTAAGAACACGTATAATCCTTCAATTCGTGGGACTACACTTCTTCCGCTCACATTCGACATAAGGTCTACAATATTCTTACATAAGCCAAAAAAAAAAAAAGAGTTCATTTTTAACATTTGTAAGTCTTATATTATTACATTTTACGACACGTTTTGTTAGTTACGACAGGTACATTGTAAGAAGTGGGGTTTCGGGTTTCTACTGCTACACGATATGCGAGCGCTCTGATAATTGCCCTGCTTTCGATCTTGCTCAAACAAGGATGGTGTTTAAGCTGCATCGAGATAGGTGAAATTACTCAATAACCATCATTCGAATTATAGGTAATAAATTTGATTTTTTTTTAATATAAATAATTCGAGCAGGTTTCATTACATGGCGATCACAGACGAGAAACAAAGAGTAATGCCTATGCCAGACGATTTATTACCCGGTAGAGGGAAACAGCTAATCGTACCTGAATCCGTTTTGCTCGTAAATCCTATTAATCCAGATCTTAAAGGAGAGGTACTTTTTATATACATACATACATACATACATACATACATACATACATACATACATACATACATACATACATACATACATACATACATACATACATACATACATACATACATACATACATACATACATACATGCATGCATGCACATATACATGACAAAATTTTGTATGTAACTAGGTTGATGATAAATACCAGTATTCGATGGACAACAAGGATGGTGGGGTCCACGGTTGGATAAGCTCGGATCCGATAATCGGATTTTGGATAATATTTCCGAGCCAAGAATTTCGAAACGGGGGACCCACTAAGCAGAATCTTACCGTCCACACGGGTCCCGCCTGCCTCGCTGTAAATATTTTTTATTTAATCAAATATATATATATCAAGATTCTTGCATTGCATAATCAAGAATCTGATATTATATTTTTTTGTGAATTATAAAATAGATGTTCCACGGGAGTCACTACATCGGGAATGAAATGAGTGCTCGTTTCGAACAAGGCGAAACGTGGACAAAAGTTTTGGGCCCCGTTTTTGTGTACCTTAATTCAACCTCGGTCGTGTCGAACGCTTACAACCTATGGCTAGACGCAAAGAAACAGGTATATATATATTTTGTGAATAAATACGTCCGATTAATATTTTCTAATTTTCGATTTTTTTTTTCTCGACTCATCTTAAGAGATTGAATCAAGAGTCGTTGTGGCCGTATGATTTCGTCAACTCGCAATATTATCTTACCGACAAGGAGCGTGGTTCTGTTTCCGGGAGGCTCTTTGTCCAAGATAGGTAATAAAACAAATGATATATACTTACGAAAGATTTATATGTTATTGTTCATAATTAGCTTGTTCGAAATGGACCAGGTTTATTTCTTCGTCGCTTCTTCCTGCCAAGTCAGCGTTTATTGGTCTATCGGCTGCAAGAACCGAAGGCTCTTGGCAATTGGAAAGCAAGGTTTCGTAGCTAATAAATAATTTTAATTTCCTCTTTCATCCTTTTTTTTTTTTTTCCGAAATCGCAGAAAAACTGGAACTTCGTATTGGCAGGGCTATCAATTTTGGGTAAATACAGATTCAGACGGAAATTTTACAATAAAAAATGTCGTACCGGGAATCTACGGTCTGCATGGCTGGATTCCAGGTTTCGTCGGTGATTACCTGAAACAAGAACTTATTACAATCTCCCAAGGTAAAATAATTTTTACAAAAAAAAAACGGATATATCGAATTTTGGTAATGATACTGACTTATGAAAATCGTTAATAGGATCAGAAATACAGATGGAAAATATAACATATGCACCGCCTAGAGACGGTCCAACTATATGGGAGATCGGATTCGCAGATCGAACGGCTCAGGATTATTATGTTCCTGATGTGAATCCTATGTATGTCAACAAGTTATTCCTTAACAGCCCAGAAAAGTAAGTATATTTTATTTTCTATAACAAAAAATAAAAAAATAAAAAACATTTTTTTTTTCAATTATGTTGTGTGCTTTCAGATTCAGGCAATACGGACTTTGGGATCGATACACAGACGTAAACCCTAAATACGATCAAGTTTTCACGATAGGCGTAAGTGATCCGAAGAAGGACTGGTTCTTCGCTCATGTTGACAGGTATATGATCTATCTATCTATCTCTATATATATTATATAGACATACATACAGCATAAGCACGAATAACTGAAAAAAAATGATGGAAGTTTTTTTTTTTTTTTGGCAGAAGGATTGGAGAAAAGTATGTTCCGACAACATGGGCGATCAGATTTAGTCTGAAATCGGTTACAGTCGGGACGTACAAACTGAGATTGGCTATTGCCTCAGCCACACGCTCCGATCTTGAGGTCGATCCATTCCTCTCTCTAAATTTCACTATCTTACTCTCTCTCTCTCTCTCTCTCTCTAAAGGATGTACGTTAGAACGAACCGCAGGTGCATGTTAACGAGATGAATGCAGAACAGCTCGTTTTCCAAGTGACCAATTTAGGTGCAGATAACACAGTTTGTCGACATGGAATCCATGGGCTTTATCGTCTTTTCAGCGCAGATATTTCGTCGACTTTGTTGGTTAACGGTGACAACTGCATATTTCTAACACAAGCAAGGGGTGGTGATTCACTCTGTGGGATTCTATATGATTATTTAAGGCTAGAAGCTCCACCTACTTAAATTGCAGAATTAGTCTTCCGAGCGAGTCGATATTATTTTTTTTGTTTTTCGCAATTGTTTTCGTGTATGTTCGATCAAACGAATTCACAAATATATTACACAATTGATGTAAAAAAGAATCGAAACTGCAAACAATAACATTACATTCCATGAACTTTTTTATCCACATCAAATGATCATTTAACATGGCTAACATTATAACTAACAAAACCGAAACCGCGCAAAAAAAAAAAAACAAGAAACTACATCGTGAAAGTATACAAGAATATACCTAAAGATCAAGCATGGTAGAAACACGGGTCGATACCATATACACACACTCCAGAACGGGTCGATTCGTAATGTTACGAATTTACGATCATTGGAGGGCATTAACGAAAGCCATCAAAGAGTCAACATCTCTCTTCTCCGACGGATACTTAATCGGCCTCGAAGAATGCTTCGGAAACAAAACCACAGTCGGAAAACTCCCCAAACTCAACTCCTTCTGAGCAAACTCCTTCTCCTCCCCATCCGCCCGGAACTTTCCAACCCTAACTCCGGAACCTTCCAATTTGTCCGCCAACTCGACATAAGAAGCTTCCATTCCCTGGCAGAATTGGCACCAAGGCGCGTACATCACCACAATCCAAGCCTCCTTCCGGTCCTTCAATTTCAACAAGTTCTCAATCCCAACCCTAGTCAAATCCACCATATTCTTCGTAACAAAAAGGTCCGCGACAACAGGGGCTAACCCATTAGCCTCCGCGGTCGAATTTTCGTCCTTAATATTGCCCTTGTGGAGCCCGCATTCTTTAGCCTTGGCATCTTCCCACCACCATCTCCCTTCCCGTTCGTGCTGACCCGGCAAAACGGGCCTCGTGCAAGGCTCGCACCCGATCGATATATAGCCTTGCGCGTGCAACGTATTGACCGGCACATCCATCGCTCGTAAGAAGTTCCACACATCGTTCCCCTTCACATTCGCAACGGGGTTCCACTTAACCAAACTCCCAACCCCACCTTCAAGCCCTTCGAAAACAGGGTCCACCTGTACAACAGGGACTTCCGATCGGGTCCCGGGCGATTGATCCTTCCGCTGGCCCGTTATCCAGGCCCGTAAACCCTTGAGGGCCCGCCTCAACGGCTTCACCTTCCTCACACGGCAGCATTCTTGATGGCCGTCTTCGTAGAAGGAGAAGAGCCCCTTCGTTCTCACTAAGGACTGAACTTCCTCGGCTTCCGGGAATGTGTATTCGATGCGAATGTTGTAGCGTTTTTCGACTTGGTCGAAGAATTTGTAGGTTTCGGGGTTTAATCGGCCTGTATCTAGGCTGAAGACGCGGAACGGTCGTCCGGTTAAGTGCGCGTATTCGATTAGTGCTACATCTTCTGCTCCACTGCAAAATGTAAGCATTACATCAGTATACAGTATATACTAATACGATGAATCCGAATGTAAAATTCACGAATTCGACTCGAAAAAAGGTACCTAAAAGCAATTGCAATATCGTTTCCGAATTTTTCGAGAGCCTTATCCATAATCTGAAGAGGGGAAGCATTTGTGAGCTCCTCCGCCAATTTCTCGTAGTCTTCTTCTTCCAATTTTTCAACCAATTCTGCCATAATTTCAACCAGGGGCAAATCCGTCAATACATACATACACTCATCGGGGAATTAGATACAGAAATACAGATCAATTTTCACACATGCAGAAAAATTGAATGGAAATTATTAGTCCAACGTACCAGGAGGGGACAACGTCGCCGCCGACGGAACAATTGAATCGTTCCTCTTCGGCTCCGCCGCGTTCAGCTGCCTCACGGCGGAGCAGCGCCTCCGCGAGAAATTCGCCGCCGCCGACGGGAGATGAGACCGATCCAACGCCTGAAACGCGCTAAATTGCGCAGCTGCAGAAGGAATAAATTAAGCACACGAATTGTATTAATACAAAATCAATTTTAAAAAAAAACAAAAAACCAATAAACTAAATGAAGATGGAAAAATGTGCACACACCTCTGGGCAGCTGGTCAAAAGAAGAAGACAGAGAAGAACTGCGAATTGCTGCCGGTGAAGACGTCACTGAAAAAGCCATTGTTGAGTACAGTTACTGTTATGTATATATATAGGAATCACACAAAACCCCGAAAATGATGAACAAAAAAGCTGTATAATTTGGATTCTGGGTTTTGCAGTGTGTGTGTGTTTGTGTGTGGCGTTGTGTGAAGCGGAAGAATATATACAAGTACGAAACGAAAGGCGGGGGAGAAAGCCGAACCAGGTTCAATGAACCTGGACGTGTTTTCGGCACTGGGACGTAATTCCACGTGGCGTCTAGTGATTGGAGAATGCGGCTAGTGTGGTTTTTTTTTTGGTCGTGGCGAGCTCAAGTTTGGAAAGAGACTGAGAAAAGAGAGCGTGGCTGTGAGCAAGTGCGTATTCCTCACCATTCAAATATTCTCATTATCTTTTATTTATTATTATTATAATAATAATAATAATAATTATTATTATTATTATTATTATTATTATCAAAATAATAAATTCGTTATTCTGGATTATAAATATGGTAATTAGACATAATTTATTTTCTAATTCAGCGAATTTTCCTATTTACCTTTTATATTTTACCAACTTTGACCAATAAATGGAGTATGCTGTATTTGATTTTGAACAAAATTCATTATTTACTTACTAAATAAATATACAATTTAAATTTATTATAGCAAAATTCTATTAATTTTGTTTTGATTGTGGACGAAGGTGGTGACGTCATAATTATCATGGGGACCCACTAATGACTATTTAGCATCGAATCTTGACCCGTCACCACCACTATTATTGTGATTAGTGAAAATCACAGCCGCCTAAAATCCCTTTAATTTTGTGCAGCACGCAATTACGAGGAAATTTAAGCTATACACGAAAAAGAAAAATAGTTTCTAAAAATATATATAAATAAATACTTTCAAAATAAAATAAATAAATAAAAATAATGGAAAATGGGATGCCACAAAAACGAGCAAGTGGTTTCAATTCGCTTTCACCATGGATTCAAATTCGATTAATCGATGCCCCACGTGATCAAGTAGCTTCGAATGTAGCCCCCCCCCACATCCACACTTATACATACATAGGATCGGTAATTGAGCCTAGCTTAGCCTAACTGAAGTCCAATTACTCAATCCGATTATATTTGAGTCGAGCCTGTTTTTTTTAACATGTTCGGCTGGAAAGTTGTAAAATATATAATTTATATGTTACTCGATTCAAAAATACGAAGCCCAAAAAAATACATGAGCAGAACTTGAAGTTATAGTAATGAAGCCGAGCAGTATATAAACTTGAGCCTATAGCAAGGAGTTCCGATAATATTCCAACCGATAATATTCCAAGATACCTAATATAAAGCAAAATAGTAGGGCTACCTAGCCCCACTATAGACAAGATTCCATTTTGTTTATGGTATTTGAAAAGCGCAGCCCTTGTGTACACCAAGAGTCAATTTTGCCCTTTTATATTTTATATTCCATAATCGCAATTAAAATATATCCAACTAAATAGAATCAATCATTCACTAAATCCAAGCTTCACAATTTAAAAAATATATAACGAAAGCTTTTTTTGTTATTTGTGAGGTCAGAGGTGACGTCAAATTACATTTCAAGATACATTATTTGGTTATAAAATTGCAATTTTAACTTTCTTGATTAAATCGACGTTCAAACAAAACTTAAATCGAACCGAACGAGAAACAGGCTCGATTGATTTGACTATAACAGATGTTCCTGGGAAAATTACAGGCGCTACGAATCCAAAAAGTAAAAATACGAGCCCGGTTCAAATCGGCAATTTCGTCGGGAATTAAATACGGAAAGAATAGAAAAAAATGAATGAAATGGGCTGTACGATTCAACAGTCATAAATATACAAATATCTCTATGTGCAGGTTTCATCACCCTTTACTTTCTCTTCCCAATTGATAATCCAACTTATTAAGTGTATGAACAAAGAAAAATCGAAAATATTAGTTCGTAGAACTATTATCCATTGGGTAACAACCTAGTACTCGAAGAAACCTAGCAAACTCCTGCCCAATGAATGAAGAGACAAATGAAGATTTATGTTTTTACGTGTAATAATGAAAACGGCGAAAAATGGAACGATTAAAGAAACTCTTACCTGTAAATGTCCGAGTGCATTTTGAGCACGAGGCTCCGCCATAGAGGCTTCAAAATCGATGTAAAAGAGGTAATCAAAGTATCTGCAAGGTTAGTTTCGTCATTTCTATGCAACTTTACAACTAACAGGTAGGTGGCGGAAAATTCTCCAAGGGTAGGGGGCCATGGCCCCCATGCTTGTAAACACACTTACGTGGCACTCCCGCGGTTAGAGTCATCAACAACCCTCAAAGGCCGTCTTCTTTGTGGTCGGCTCTCAATCTACAGTATAAATAAAATAAATTACTAAACTATAATAAGACGGGAAAAGGTAGAAATAAATGCCGATAAAGACGGGATTTACAATTACCTTTGACAAACTAATGCCCCTCAGAGCGAAGGCTGCTAAAGCCTTGAATAGAATTCCGGGTCCCTCTTCTAGACTGAAGACGATGCTAGTCTAAACCGAAGAAATGATTTCATTAATAAATAGTCTAATAAAGAAATAATGTTTTATTATAACCAAATAAAAAAAATAAAAAATGAAATTAGCATGATAAAAGGAAACTACCTTGTAAGGTCTATCGGTTCCTGGAATTATAGGTTCCCTCCCAAGTATCAGAAAACGGGTTACATTGTCTGAATCATTCTGTTTGGTTGATCATTGAACTAAAATAATTAGAAAATAAGTTATTATATATATAATCATCAATCTTTTTTTTTTTTAAGGAAGTGATACCCCTGAGTAAAAGAAGCTTAATGGCTATACTCCGTACATTTTCATTTTATAGTCCAATTTAAATCGATAAAATGGTTTTCAATATCAACCCATTCGGAAAATGTCGACTGAAGTTGAAGATTCACCTGTATTCTTTCCGCAAGAACATCAAGACCGTAGATTTCTGCAGCTCGAGTACTTGCAACTGCTCCCATCTCCCTCACACCTTCAGATGCTACAATCTGTCCTGGTGTTAATTGACACAAACAAAGATTGAAAAGGGTAAAAAGGTCATAACCATACCTGAGCTGCACTAGCTGTATCGTCTACGTTGACTCTGGTCACACCCAACTCACTCAGGGCCATCTCACACTGATCTAGTGCCTAAAAACACCATCAGAACAATTATTTGCATGCTGTGTGTGTGTGTGTGTGAGAGAGAGAGAGAGAGAGAGAGAGAGAGAGAGAGAGAGAGAGAGAGAGAGAGAGAGAGAGAGAGAGAGAGAGAGATGAATAATCACCTGTGGATGGCTCAATACACGTTTAAGCTCCTCCTTTCTAACGCCAGGCAATCCTAAAAGGCAGTGATTAACAAGCAACTGAACTTCACCAACTATGTGAAGCCTATGACAAAGAAGCAAGTCATAGTTCCGATGGATGCTCCCATCGACCGAGTTCTCAATCGGAAGCACTGCTTTCTCCGCCAACCACAACTCAACCGCCTGGCAAGTGAAAATCTCACATTAAGTTTCCATTAATAGAAGGGTTTTTCAAATTCATAATAATAAATCCATTTAGCTTGTTTTGAATGATTCATTCATTGGACAATAGATTCCGACTCTTGCGCTCTCATTTTTAAGTTACCTTTTCAGTCATTTCAAATCACTTCCAAAATCCTATCCTCAAATCCAAACGCACTCTAAAGATTTAAGGTATACACGGAAATTGGGCAAAAAGAAAATAAAAACAAAGCAATAATTTGAGAAACATCAAAAACCTTAAACGCGGCTTCAAATTCGTCGCACGGGACAGTCTCGCACTTCGGGTAAGCTTTTAGTGCAGCAGCCTCACTATATGCACCTGGAACACCCTATTCAGAAGCAAATAAATAAATCATTTTACGAAAACAAGGCTAATAATTTACAACCTAATATAATAAACAAGAGTCAAATAAATCTGCATTACCTGATACGCCACACGAACTTTCTTACCGTCACCAGAAAAGGGGGACAAATCTGCTGCAGACAAGGGTTCTGCATTCAAACACAAAATGATCCAATTTTGTAAATAATAACTTGTGAGTTCTCAAAATGTTCAAACAAAAACCTCTTAATTTTACCTCAAATAAGCAAATTTCAGCTGAATCAATCAGAATTAACAGTTTAATACCAATTAACCTAAAATGGAAAAAAAAAAAAGGGAAAAATTAGGGCTAACTCACTGGGGAGAGAGCTTAAATCCTTGTCATATGCTCTAACCAGAGTAATCTGAGTGGTAGGAGCAGCACCGGAAGTTGAGGGTACCTCGTCTTCAACGGGTATAATTGCCCGGTGAGTGTGAGAAAGACATTGCCAAACCCTCTGAACCCTAGAATTCGACGGCGCTAATCGACCGGCGGCGGCGAAACCCGAAATGCCCAATTGAGAATAGGGGTTGTCTTGCTTGTTGTTATTAGCGCCGTAAATTAATATCGGCGCAGCCTTCGAAGCCATTTCTGTATCTATATTCTAGCGTGAAGTGATGAATTTAAGAGAAGGGAGATTCATCAGAAGAGAGAGAGAATGGGAAACCAGATAATGTTGTGTGACGAATTAGTCTTTTGGTTTTGTTAGCTGGGTTTGAATTTTGGCTGCACGTATGATGAGAGATATAGAGAGAGAGAGAATATTGTTAAAATATTAGATTTATTGTTAGTTAGTTAATTAAATGTTTAATATTAGTTTAGGCAAATAATTAGTCAAAATAGTATCCCTAAAATTAGGATAAGTTTGTTAATTAGTTTTAGTTTTGGTTGTAACATTCTGCTTATGTTAGATGAAAAATACCGAATACCGATTTTTCCAACATATATATAAACAATTAAATATACGTTTAGAGAACAAGCATAAGTAATTGGAGAAATAAATGCATTTCGCCCACCCCTAGAAAATTACAATTATTGCATTTTCTTCCCTAACAAAAGATTACCCTACCCATCTTCAAATTTTATTCTAGTTGCACCTTGATTCAAATTACAATTTTTCATGTATTTTTCATTGGATTTGCCATATGTTCGTCAACTTCAAGGGTATTTGAGTCATTTCATTATTTACTTCCAAATCATTCTAATAACCGAAAAACACAGACTCATTTCAGTTATTTCAATTAAAAATTGGGCTTTTATATACTAAAGCGAATTGTGCCTACTGTTAATTGCAGTCGCAAATTTGTAAGAATTTACTTCTTATTATTATGATCCGTCCCCGGAATGACGTAAATGTCCTTCAATTGGATGGATTCATGGATTCATGACAATTTTATTTTTTTCTCTGAAAAAAAACACACTGAAAATTGTAATTTGAAGCAAAGTTCAATTGAAACAAAAGTTGGAAGGAGGAAAATCTACTATCCTAATTTTCAAGAGCAAAAGCAAAAGCTGTAAATTTCTAGAGACAAAATACATTTTGTCCTAAATAATAACACCAGAAGTACAAGCATACAAATAATTATTCAAGATACAGATAATAATAATTATTATTTTCCAATTAAATAATTAGTATTATCTTTTTACAGTAATATCCTCTAAAAAGTATTTTATTTTCTTATAAATGCAATATTTAAAGTGTTAATCCGTTGCTTCATTTTTTAGTTTGCAAGAAATTTTAAATGGCCCAAAGACAGAGCTAAAAAAGGACAATAAGAGAGAAGCAGCCCATTGGGTGAAAAGCCCGGTGGACGCCACGTCAGCCCACAATAATAAAAATTAAAAAAGTTGAAAAATCCGCCGCGCCAAAGGCCGCGACCCCTTTTTTTCCCGCCTTTCATTCCCCCTATTTTAAAACCCTATCTCCCCCCATCTGCCAATGCACGACTTCTTCCCCCCCCTCTCTCTCTAGGGTTTCAACATTTTTCTCTCTCTAAAATACCACCATGAAAGCCAGAGTCCGAAGCAGCGCACTCGGATCTCCGGCGCCGGCGCCGGCGCCGCCTTCGTTCTACACATACCTGAAGCCAGGTGCCCTCGCCCAGCTAAGAAATTCCAAAATCACTGCCAGATCCAGACAAATCGGCGCACAAACACTTCTCGCTCTGTGTCAACTGAATTTGAGTTCCGATTCGCCGTTTTCGCAGCAGCAATCGCCGGATTTCTCCATGGATGGTGTGCCGTGCTTCAATTTGAGGGTTGCGAATTTCCCTCGCTGCCTTCAGAGGAAGAAGCTTATTGCTGCTACACCTTTCTTCTCCGAAACTCAATCCTGATCTCTCTTCTTCTTTTTGTCCCCTCATTTCATAAGTGCGTAGATAAACAAAAAATCATAAATATGTAATTTTGGGATTTTTCTCATTTTTTTAGATTCGGAAGTTCAGATTCAATGTAGCTTGATGTGTTTTATAAACCAACAAAAAAAAAAGATGTAGAAAAACTTTTTAAAATGAATAAAACGAATAGCTAGTTGTGTTCGACATCGTTCGTTTCGGTTTCTGCATGAATTTGCTGGTCTCCCGTTGGTAATTCAATTGTTTATTTTCCTCTCGAAAAATTACGAATCTTTTGATGTTCTTCACTTCTTCAATGAAGCAGTTATTGTATGAACATTAACTATTTGATGTTGCTTTTGCTAAGTAAATCTATAATAAAGATTGGATCTTGGAAGTTTTGATTATACTTGTCATGTTAGATCTTCAAATTTACACAATGCCCGATTCTTAAATTTTCTATCTTCGACGTTAGATATTTGCCTGATTTACGATTGTGCGTTTGTTGCGTGTATATTACCATACCATATCGCGTTCGATTTTATTCATTTTGTTTTTCGATTTTATCTAGTTTTTGCATTTAGTTCACGCTTTGCTTGAATTCTCATCGAGATTTCAGAGTCGTGTCTGAGTTTGATTTGATAGCAACCGAGTCAAGCACTTGATTGAATCGCGTATTGCTATCGTTTCTTGATTTCAATTTGAGGTATATGATGATTTTGTCTAACACTAATTTCGAATGTCTTGTTAACGAAGTCTTTCGACTGTCACAAATCGTAACGGAACACAAATACCGATGTGAAACACTCGAAATTGAACATTATTTATTCACACAGTATCCATTTCATACAAAAAGATTAAACTATTGTACATTCATAAATCAAAATGAAGAAGGGGTTTCAAATTAACATATAAATAAATAATGGAAAACAGAGTATGCAAACACAACACAAATAGAAGTCGATTACGATTATTCATTATCCTCACGCAGAAACTCTCCCTTGTCTGAAAATATCCCGCTCGAATAACATTTTCTTGATCCTTCTAGAAGAGCTTCACTGCTGGTTGCGTTGTTCCGCTTCTCATCATAGCACAAAACTCCTCGTAGTTGATTTTCCCGTCCTATAAAATTCAAATTCGTAAATCACTATATCTAATTTTCATGAATAGAAACGTATAAAAAAATAAATTAATTTAATCTAACTTACATTATCAGTATCCACCTCCGAAATAATTTCCTCGATTGTGGCCTCGTCGCCCATACCGTATTCTTTCATAGCACTTTTCAGCTCATCTCTCGTGATATAGCTGAAAATGAATTTTAAGGAGAAAAAATCGCGATTTAATTAAAGCATAACAACGCACGAGAAATTTAATTTGGAAATAATCGGAATAAACTATCTCGATATTGATATCTTACCCACTGCTATCCTTGTCAAAAAACTGAAACGCACCAAACAGATGCTCGTCTTTTTCGAGCTTATGTCTGTGCATTGTAGCAGTGATAAATTCAATATAGTCGATTGTCCCATTACCATCCACATCAGCCTAATAATCAACAGTAAAATAAATAAATAAGTCAAATTAAATGCAAGCGGACAAATCCAATTTCGAGCGAAATTTCGAGCCAAGATGCAATCTTTATGAGAACCATACATTAAATCAGACCTGATTATTTAATTCAATCACGTGTTATCTTGCAAACCAAACGAGTGATAAGATTTTTGTGATAATACTTACAGCTTCCATGAGTTGTTTTACTTCGGTTTCCGAAAGTTTCGAGCCGAGCCTAGCCAGACCGGATTTCAACTCTTCATAGGTGATCGTGCCACTCTTATCTGTGTCCATATTCGCAAACATTGCTTTAAGACCCTTAATTTCTTCTTCTGATAAACTTTGTGCAATGACCTGCCAAGAATTTTCGATAAACGCAAAGAATATTTGTGGATTCAGAATCTCTCTCCAATAATATATATTTGTTGCATAAGTATAGACATTTCATTTTTCGATTTACGGAAATATATATATATATATATATATATATATATATATATATATATATAAAAGATTACCTTTAGTGCAAGTTTCTTGAGCTTATTCATTGCTCTGAATTGTTTCATTCTGGAGAGAACCGCACTATCTATCGGCTTGTCTGATGCTTGTCCCTTAACCCAAGGGTGCTCTTTTAAGACAAATCGTAAAAAAATGTTTACGTTTTTAGTTAATGAATATCATCGTACAATAATTTTACAAAAAATCAAATACAAGATCAGTGATAAAATTTACAAATATGTCCTCACCAAGTACTTGTGCAGAAGTAATTCTTCGTTTTGGGTCCTTAGTCAGCATTTTCTGAACGAGATCTTTGGCACTGTTTGATATGGAAGGCCATGGTTGACTATCAAAGTCAACTTCTTCTTTCAGTATAGCATCGAATATGCCTTTCTCAGTTTCTACAGCCAAAAAAAAAAAAAGAAAATTATCAAGAAAAGAATACGGAATTAGAAACTGTTATTACATCATCGTACAATGTAAGAATTAATTATTTCTTACCAGCCCAAAACGGAGGCACACCACTCAAAAGGATGTACAAAATAACACCGGCACTCCATACATCTATTTCCTTCCCGTAACTCCGCCTCAAAACTTCAGGAGCAACATAGTACGCACTCCCAACTATATCGCGGTATACCTTACCTGGAAAAAATATTTGATTACTAATGCAGCATAACATCGATGCAAAGATAAGTAAATCGAAAAAGTTTAAATTTTGCCCCAACTTTATATAAGTCGAGATAACTTTCATGGGATATATTACCGTTTTAAATAATACAACTTTATCCGATAGTTAATATAATTACTTACAACTCTCGTTCATAACGAGAAGGAGAATATTAATAGTATCAAGAACCATGATGCATATTGTAACATCAAATGTCATTACTAAATACTTCTTTTTTCCCGGAGATCTAACAAATTGAATTTCTTGTGTATCGAAGAATACATCACAAACTAACAAGAAACACGAAGGACTTCAATAAAGATCATACACATTCTCCATCAATCACTATATAGTAAGAGCCCATTTGGCTTTCAACATCTGATAAGTTGTTTTAAAAGTTGATAAGCTGTTACATCTTATTTCTAAAATTAATTTTTTGGAAGTGTTTGGATAATGAGCTTATAAGTTGTTTTTACTTGTTTTAAGATCTTAAACAAAAAGATGGAGTATAGGTATTTTAAAAAAAAAAAGGATCTTATAAGCTCTCTAGCCGCTTGTTTTATGATTTTTTGCAAGAAAAAAACAAACACTTTGGAAGAGCTTATAAACTCTTAAACATCTTGTAAGCTGTTAAAAACAACTTATAAGCTTAGCCAAACACCCTCTAAGAAATAATCTCACAATTAACCAAGATTAGCCAAGATTAGAGCCATTATACTACCAAACATCCAATAAAGTCGAATTATTTAATTAATCATAACTAATCAAAGAATACACAAAACGCACCTTCTTCGATGAAAACAGACAATCCGAAATCGGTGGCCTTCAACATCGACTTATCATCCTTACTTGATAGCAAGAAATTCTCAGGCTTAAGATCCCTATGCATCACCCCCATAAAATGGCAATGGTGAACGACGTTCACAATCTGCCTACAAAGATCGGCCGCGGCCCTCTCTGAGTAATGCCCCTGCGCGATAATACTATCGAACAATTCCCCGCCCCGACAAAGCTCCATCACCAAATGCACCGTCTGCCGATCCTCGTACGCGCCCTTGAACTCGACTATGTTCGGCTGCCCGCTCAAATGCTGCATTATGTGAACCTCCCTCTTCATATCGTCCTTATCGTTCTTGCTCACGAGCTTCCGCTTCAATATCGATTTGCACGCGTAATGGTGTCCGGTGGAGATTTCGATGCACGAATACGTAACGCCGAATTGGCCCCTCCCCAATTCTTTCCCCACCGTGTAATGCGACTTCACATCTTCAAAGGGTTTGCCGAGAATGTTGTTGGGCTCTAGTTTCTGGACGGGGTGTTGGGGTTGGGGTTGAGGTGGGGGTGAGGTTTTCGGTGGCGGCGGCGGGGGTGGGTTGTAGTGGTGCCTTTCCGGTTGGGTTGGAGGCTGAGGGGTGTATTGGGGTTGTGGCTTTTCGTAATTTTGTTGATTGTAAGCAGTGTTTGCTGATCTGTAGCCATTTGCATCTGGGCTTGAGTATTTGCCCTTGCTAAAACACCCACCCATTTTTTAATTTTTTTTCTGAATATATGAATCAAAGATTGCAGCTTTATGAATCTTTTCGTGAAAAGGAATAGAGAAAAAGTGGAATCTGGGGAGAAGATTCACATCGAGAGTCAAATCTAGAAATTGAGGGTTTTATTTTTGATTTGGGGATCTGATTATTCGACCTAGTTGTTAAGAAGAAGAAGAAGAAGAAGAAGGTCTGTAATGGCAACTATGGATTAAGGAGAAGAAAAAAGAATTAAAAAAAAAAAATCATTTCATAGACTGTGTTTGTTGACTTCTCAAAGCTGTGTGTGAAGTGTTCAACACACGTTTTTGCTTTACATTCTACTGTAATTATAATATTATTTATATATATATATATATATATATATATATATATATATATATATATATATATTGTATATATATATATATATATATTGTATTTAAATATTTCATGATAAGTTCATAAGATATCTTATATATTAGGGTAAATTCTAATTTACCCCCTCGTACTCAGCCTGAGAATCACTTTACCCCTCGTACTCTCAATTTCAACGATTTACCCCATTGTACTTGTACAATTTCCCAATATAGTCATTTCCTTCAACTTTTGTCAATTTTGACTCTGACGCCGTTTGGTCAACTCTGTAAATTACAAAATTGCCACTGCCTATAACGCGTCGTTTCTCCTCCGTCAATATTGTCATTTCTACTTCTCCCACCACTTTCCCTTCCAAGATATCCCCAAATTGAACACCTAACTTAGTAAAAATCAAGACCCAAAAATTGATCGATTCCACGCAGTGCAAAGAAAAAAACATATGAATGTGTGAAACTTTCTCTTTTCTAATCTCGAGAGTCAAAATCGAAAATATTCAATATTTACGTCAATATTTTGACTCTTGACCAAATGGCGACAGAGTCAAAATCGAAAAAAGTTGACAAAGAGGGTTGTATTGGAAAATTGTACAAGTACAAGGGGGTAAATCGACGAAATTAAGAGTACGAGGGGGTAAAGTGGTTCTTGGGCAAGGTACAAGGGGTAAAGTGGAATGTACCCTATATATTATAGGGGTAATGACAAATAGGCCCATGACAAGGGTACCTAATTAAAAGAGAGACATCCAATTTTTTTGTCTTTTAAATAAATTCAGTTCATTCAAACTTATTTGCAAATACGGAAAATTCTTTTATATATACCAAAATTATCCCCAATTAATTGAAACATAATTCAACTCCAATTTCATGATTTACACCCCAACTTAGTCCAATTTCATCAATTAACCAATTTTAACACTAATTTCAATTTTGACCCCAATTTTGACCCGCCACCACCGGAGACCGCCGGCCGCCGACGTTGACCGCCGGTCTCCAGCGTTGACTTCTTTTTTTTCTTTTTTTTTTTTGAAAAATATTTTTTTTTCCTGAATTTTTGTTCCGGCCGGTCAACTGCCGTTGACCGCCGGGTCTCCGACGTTGACTTTTTTTCTTTTTTTATAATTTTGTTTTTTTTTTAAATATTCTAATTAATATTACTGTCTTGGCTGCTAAATTACTGTCTCCGGCAGTTATTTAACTGTCGGAGACAGTAATTTAACTGTTAATTGACCTTTTTTTTTCTTCAAAAATATTTTAATTAATATTACTGTATTCGTTGCTGAAGTACTGTCTCTAGCAGTTATAGCAGTTATTTAACTGTTGAAGACAGTAATTTAACCGTTAATTGATTTTTTTATTCTTAAAAAAAATATTTTTAATTAATATTACTGTATTTGTTGCTAAATTACTGTCTCCAGCAGTTATTTGACTGTCGGGGACAGTAATTTAACTGTTAATTGACTTTTTTTTTCTTAAAAAAAATATTTTAATTAATATTACTGCCTTGGATGCTAAATTACTGTCTCCAACAGTAATATTATTGTCTGAGACAGTAATTTAGTAGCCAAAACAGTAATATTAATTAAAAAACAAATTAAGAAAAAAAATTCAAAAAAAAAAATTCAACGCCGGAGACCGGCGGTCAACGGTGGTTGACCGGCCGGAAAAAAATTTCAGGAAAAAAAAATTTCAAAAAAAAAAAAAGTCAACGCCGGAATCTATATATTTATTTAAATCCGGGGTCAATGTGTAATATTAAGGAAGTTATAGCATAATGGGTGGAATTGACAATAATTATATTATTCAGGGTATTTTGGACTAACGAAATATTTTATAAACTTTGGCAAACAAGCTATTAATTATGGGTCTATTAGATATAACCCCCTTAAACATTCAAATAATAGGGGTAGACCCAAATTTAAATTTGCCATTTTGATAAAAGCCCAAGCTTTTCGTAATTAAATAATTACCCTCAATCAAATCCCACAAATCCCGTTACTTTACCTTTTTTAAATTAATAGACTATCTCATATCTTTTAATAGACTATCCCATGTATCTAATTCGACTATGGGTTTAATTAATTGACTATTGGAAAAATAATAATATATATGGAAACTGAATAATATGTTTGTTTGAAATACTAATCAATTAGGGTAATTTTCCTTATTATATGAAAACGATTAGGGTAAATAATAATATATATGAAAAAATAATAATATATATGGAAAGTGAATAATATGTTTGTTATACTAATCAATTAGGGTAATTTTCCTTATATCATGTAATAGACTATCTTATTGATCTAATTCGACTATGGATCTCGTTAATAGACTATGGATCCCGTATTATTCAACCACATAGTATATTAATAATTTCAATATAGTACATTAATCTGCTATGATAATATATTACGGTTATAGTATTGATATGAAATTGTGTTACAAACAATATACCACTGAAATGACAAGAACATTGAGAACAACACCAACGTAAAGTATTCCACATAACCAATAAAATAGTACATTAATAATCTCATAATTTCAATCTAGGGTTTTGATAAAATACATAAAACACATCATAACACAATAAAACCAATATGTCGAGTTAAAAAACTCTAGTACATTAATAATCTCATAATAGTATAATAAAATGATAATGGTAGTATCATACGGTATTCATAATATTATACTACTGTATTACAACGGTTTAACACTTAACCGAAGTTACCGAGCCATTACATCGTAAACACCTCTTTATAGCAACTAACCCACCAAACCTCAACAAAATCCGTACGAAATTCGCCATCGAAAAAACCTAAAATCATGAAACAAAATTAAAAATGCAGAATACTAAAAAATAATTAAATAGACTGCAAATACATTTGAATGATAATACATTAATATCATCAAAAATAAATTTAAAATGCAAAATTCATACGCTAAATTAAAAAAGACTACGAACTATATTTTAATGTACTACCCAGCACACTTAAATCGGCTGTTATAAACAAATAAACCAACTATCGATCGGGATAAAAACATGAACTCGACCAAAGCGGACAATTATTCCGATTATTGCATAAACCAACTACGAAGCTCATATAAAAAAACTCTGGTCCGATCTGCGTGAACCATCCTCTTCTAACTCTGTCAATCCTCTTCCAAACAAACATCATCGGCAAAAAAAAACGATATATATATGACGGAATAATTTTGTTAAAAAACGTTCTACTTAATAGAATCAAGTATCAACACAACTCTTAAAAATTTCTAACCACCGTACACGACAATCATGGACATTGAGCAAAAAATAAAAACGAATAACGCATTCATACCCGCTTAACAACGTCCAACAACAAACGCTCAAAAATCGATCCTATTTCCACGACGGTGCAGAAATCTTCAATGACGATAAAACCCGCTGGAACGATGAAGAGAATCTTCAAAAAAAATTGTACACGATTTGATATAACGGCCAATGATCTCACGTAAATTTATTCCGTGATTTTAGGCAACATATCAGCAAATCTCAAATCACGTATTAAAGGAAATAAATGCCGTTTAATAATAAAATAGGGGTATTAAAGAGAAATTATATAATATATTTTGCCAAGTTGGCAAAATTGGGTGTATCTCAAAAAGGAGAAAAAAAATTGGATCTACCTCATTAGAAAATATGAACAAGGGGGTTTTCCCTAATAAACCCATTAATTATTGTTATTAAGGTTAATGGACGAAAATATTAATAAATTCAACCAAACACTTTATTCTTAAAGAAGTTATTATTTGAGATCAAACCTAACATCCCACCTAATAAAAATGATAGGTTTAGCTAAATTAAGGTGCAATTATTCGGTTAAATAATTAACTCCATTTGTTCCATACTTCTATTAAATGATTTCATTTACAATATATACTTAAATTTAATTTATTTGAACTTCATGAAAATTCCACACACCTACCTTTAAATATTTGAAATATTGTATAATTAAAATGTACGTAAAATGTCAATAGGAATATATATATATATATATATATATATATATATATATATATATATATATATATATACATATATCTTTGGGTAAATTCCACTTTACCCCCTTGTACTTTGTCTGGATATCACTTTACCTCCTTGTCTTCTCAATTGTATCGATTTGCCCCCTTGTACTTTTGTTCGATATCACTTTACCCCCTTCTAGTCTCAATTCATCGATTTGCTCCCTTGTACTTTGGCTCAATATCACTTTACCCCCTTCTACTCTCAATTGCATCGATTTGCCCCATTACTTGAAAAATTGTCTCAATGTGGCACTCGCCGTTAGTTTTCAGACATTTGACATTAACACTGTTTGATCTAAGTTTGAAAGTTACAAAAAAGCTACCCCTCCCAGTTTAAATAATTATTAATAAAATAAAAA